TATCACTGCAGTAATGGTGAGATCCAGAATGCAGACTTGGAAACTGCTGCATTCTACATACTAGACTAGCCACTGGTATCACCTAAGCCTGCTCTGCATCACTTACAGCACTTAACGACTCAGCAACAACAGCTGTTAAGGATTAAAACGCCCCAGTATTTCCCAGTTACCCAGCAAAAGAAAACTGTTGCTGCTCAGTTCAGTGGGTTATAGGATCTTTAATCTTTAAACCAGGTGGCAAGCGACCCCAGCATGCCTCATCCAACATCCTGCCAGCTGTGACACCAGACCAGGTTGTCTGGGACTTTATCCAGTCAGGTCTTGAAAACCTCCATGAATAGTACCTGCATATCTCTGGACAACCTGTTCCACTTCTGGACTGGGGGCAAAAGTGTTTCCTGACCAATGAGAATGCTCCTCAGTGCTTCTGGGAGGTTTATGACTGCAGAACTCTCTCAGTCATTTCACTCAAATCTCTATACTCAACTGTGATACAACCTCTTGTGTGCAGTGTGACAATAATAAAATACTGATGCAGACCATCCATCCCCCTAGGAAGCACAACTGCTGCTGTAGACATCACCTGAAGACAACATGCTTGCGATGCTGCAATTCTACATTACATCATACATGCATATATACATGGATATAAAAGATACATACATAAAGGATATAAACATTAGAATTCATCAGCAGAAGTAGGGTTTCAAAAATTGATGAATTAGCTTGAATATTGAGATCACAAACATTGTAATCTCCTGGCCATTAAGTAATCAATGTCACTTTAGTGCTGCATTGCTCATTACTTTATCCTACAATGTTTGTAATGGAACTTGAACTGTATGGTCATTTAGCTTAAAGCATGAAACTTGTTTTCAGTGCACCATTTTTTTTCTATCAAGACAAGAATACATTAAAAAAACCTGCATATTCCTTTTCTTGTATAGATACATTTATTCTGTTGGATCATCTCCATTTTTAAGCAAGCACAACAGATACTTGTCATTAATTTATTTATATTTCTATAAATATGCTTAATAGCTTTTTTAAAAAAGGGAATGGTTACAGACACTTTAGATGAAAGAATTTAAGATTCAAAACAGCTTTACCAGTGGTTTTCCAAAAGATTATAATACTGCCATATTTTTCCCTAAAGAATGCCAGACTCCAGTGCCTCTTGCCTGTATTACTACAGTATTAATGCATTTTTGTTATTAAAATATAAGCAAACTGAAAATTTGCTCTTAGAGATGACCCATAAAAACTCAACACAGATTGCAAGCATTCAAACCATTACCCTAAGATCCAAGACGGTAAGTTTATTCCAGGGTAGCAGTAAAGGCCTATTTCACATTTTCCTTGCTGGTCACAGAGTTTTTGAAGGAAAGCTGTTAATTCCACAGCAAGCTTAACCACTGTTGCATATGTGTAGAAAGTTGGAGGCTTGCCATTGCACTCATCAAACCAAACTGCTTTTCTATCAGAGTAGAGGCTTGCTGCCTGATTCACCAGTTCCTGAAGAGTCATCTCAGATGCGTATCTTCAGTCCTCCTGGAAGATTAACAGACCAGACTGCGTTGTCACCACCTCACTTTTAATGATTCAGTCAAATTATATAAGCACAAAAAGCACTACCAAGAAAGGAGAAAGATCCGTGGCATAATCTCACAGCCTCACCACACTTCATACTGCAAAAGCATAATGCTTTTTACTTCCGTTGTTTGCCATGGGTCTTATGCTAAGACCCAGGATACAGTAATTCACCATTATTTCATTGCACAGAAATAGTTTGTTCCTCCCCATTACACCTCTATTTGTAAAGCTAGGCAGCACTGGATTAGTAACTTTATTAGCAGGAGTTAATAACGCTGTCTTTACTAGAACTGTGAAATACGAATCCTTCTTTTGCAAGCAGGAAACCCAACGCATGGACTGCCAAGGCTATTGGGGTGCTAACGCTTCTGCTGCTGCACGCCTCAGCCCTACAGCCTCTCCCGTCATGCCCACAGCGGTGACCGAGCGGCGGACCGGAAGGCTCCAGGCCGAGGCCCCTCCCGCCTTCACCGCGGCAGGGTCGGGACTCAACAGCGTTCCCGAGCCAGGACTGGCGAGGCCCGCACACCCCGCCGCGCTCAGTGCCCCCATTTCCACCCGCGACGGGCAGGACCTGGCCTCTCCCGGGGCAGCGCGGTACCTCTCCGGGGCTGACGCCACCAGCGCGGCACCACCGATCGTTGCCGCTGACCACTGCGGCCGCGGGTCCCCCACCTGAGGCAGCTTCGAGCAACAGCCCAACACCCTCCTTTGCTCCTCCGCCACCTAGCAACAGAACGTCAGCTCTTCTGATTGGCGACACCGTGCTCGTCTTGCCCAACTCCGCAGTAACGCGGCGTCTCATTGCTCAATGACCGTCGCGCTGTTGGGGCGTCCACAAGCCGCACCCTGTCCGCCAGTAGCCTGCGTGGGGCGGTGCCATTTTTTTCCCGAGGGTGAGATGAATAGGGAGGATGCTAGGGCACTTCGGCAGCTTTTCCTTCAGACATGAGAAGGGGGCTGAAATACCAGCAGGTGGCCGGGGTGAAGGGGCATGGTTTGCCCGCCACACTCAGGAGTTCAGTTATATCTGTATCCATGTAGTCGCTCGGTCAGCTGTTGCCGCAGCCTCTGCGGAGGGTTATTACCCTTTGCTGCCGGGAGCTCGGTGGGGTGAAAGGGCTGTCGGCTGGGTTTGAGAGGGCGCTGGTGGGAGCCGGCACCGGTAATGCAGTATGGGCTGGGCTGGGGTGTGGGGTTGGAGAGGGCTGTTTAATGCGGGACATGAAACGATTTTGGTCCAGCTTTGAGGCGCTTTCACAGTGACTTTATTTAAAGAAACTTTCGATGCGTATTGCCTGCCAGTGAAGGGAGAGAGACAGGGAAGACCCGTTCATAACCATGTTTAATATTAGCTATGGGAGAGGTTAGGCATCAGCTTTCTACTGCTTTGTCACATTCTGTAAATTATAATTGGCACACTTGCACGTTGGTAATACAGCAGGAACAGTTTCACAAGAAAACATTCACATAATACAAATAGCAACACCCCAAATGAGAGTTTTCTCCCTCAGCATTGCAGATGTATGTCCTGCTATATGTGATTAAAAAAAAAGCCAGGTAACCCAAAACATAAACCCAGCTGGCAGAGAATACAGTGATACATGGAAAATACCTCATTTTTAACTTAAGGTTTTGAAAAATATGCCCTAAAGATTAGGCATGTAGTGTATCTAAAAATTACAGTGCTTATGGTAGCAGACTTTGAAATTTCATGTTCATACGTGGAGGGGGAAAAGGGCATTAGGACTCATTAAATAGGAATTAGGCCACCTAATGCTCAAATCCCATTTCAGCAATTATTGCCAGACTTCAAAAATACCAGTTTTGTTAAAAACCTGTTAAAAGAATATTTGCACAAGTTTCATTTTCAGTCTGTTCTAGAGACAATTTTTAAAGTAAATCAGTAGACTTCTGCTTGCAGCCTTGTTAAACCGTGCATCTTTATCTCCTATAGAAAGGGCTTCTCATATGTATCTTTAACCTAAGAGCTCGACTTACCCCTTCTTGTACATGCTTTCTTGAACTGGGACTTCTGTGTTGTGATTGTTTGTCAAGCACTATTGCTATAAGCCCCCATGTAAGAAAGCTCACTTTTGAATTCAGTCACCAGTGCTGTAATTCTCAACTGTATGGAAGATGATGGGGATGGAAGAAGCTCTTACCTATTTTTTTTTAAACAGTGTCACAATTATAAGGCCAAAATACACAATATTAAATAGAAAATCTAAAATGAAGTTGCTGGTATTCAGTGAACAAAACCGAGGTATACAAAATAGTTTTACAATTGTGTGTAAATTCACAGTAGTTTTCCAAAAGTGCTTTACCATTTTCAGCAAGTCCAAGTGATCTTCATGTATACAGTGACCAGTTAAAAAATACATAATGCATTCAAAAGCGAATGGTTCTTCAGAACTTTTTTCTTCTGAAACATTACATCTATTTTAACAGCAGTAATATAGTAAAATAAGACTATACCCGAAACAACTCATAATCTTCAGTTGGTACATCATTTTTACTATTGAAAATGAAGACTGACTTTAGGTTTACTTTGGATGTTGACATGTGAAAAGCACACTGAGTGTGAGCTCACACGTCAGAAATTGTCAGGACTCGTCCTGGAGAAAACAAGATGTAGAACAGGAAAAAAATGGCAGTGCCAAGTATTTTTTTGTCCTTCCACATCCTATTGGCAACTGATGAAAGCACATGAAGATAATGTAATTACACTGGAGTTCAAAAAGAGAATTTTAAAGTTATGAAACTAGAGAGCTTTTGGCAGAGTGTTTCCCTGAGTCTTCATTTTTTTTTAAATTATATACGAGACATCATGTTCATAGAGTCTGTTACAAAGGCTGGGGATTAATAAAGGCTGTTGAGCTACATTGGCAAAAGTTAGGCACTTTTTTAAAAAGCTTAAGCAAGAACTGCTGAGGAAGCAACTTAATTCTTCAGAAACCGGTATTTTTCCAAAGGAGAAAAGCAAACTTCACATTCTTCTGTATTAAGAATTTGGTAAACTGAAATTAGACCACACGACCCACGATTTATGAACAATTCTAACAGGGATATCTTTCAGGGCAAGACTGAAACAAAAAAAAAAACCCACCTCTGGGACCTTTATATAATTAAAAAAACTTTGGCTTTTATAATATTTTATGAGAAAATAGAAGGCACAACTGTGCATCAAAACTATGATTTTGTATTTTAATCTGCTTACATTGTTTTCATCAACACATCAGACTTTCTGTAAGTCTTTACTGTAAAGATGTGGTTTAGTAGCAGTAATGGGTTAGCTGTAATAAGCTTTCCATAGTACCCTAAATGTAAAAAAACTATTGGCAAGAAGGAATCTTTGAAAAAGGTACATTCAGCAACAGATGGGCTCATGTCCATCCACTAACACTTCACCATTCTAGCTCTACAGGATACTCTCCAGTGAGACACGCAGTGCAGTGACCAATCTTTCCAACACGCGACTTCTGGGTTTTAAGGCTGCTCTCATTCTCTTGCCTCGCTTTGATGCTTTCCTGCACGGATGATACCAGCCCTTCCACAGAAAGGTAGACAACACTGTCTGCTCCTAGAGGAAATAAAGAATCAGTTAAAGCTGCAATATTGTACCAGATGCAGTGCTCTTTGGACATGCAGTTACATTATGGTATGGACTATGATGTCAGGTGGATAACCTTACCTAAAGAGAATGGGTATGAAAAATTATCAGGCCATAGTAAGCCTTCTGTTCTCAAATTCTTCATGCAGGGAGCAACTCACTGAAATAGAGACTGAATGTTCTGAGATGGGAACAAATATGTCACACATACTGCCAAAACAGGAATAAAGTCCAGAGGGTGTCTTAAGACTCCCTGAACTCTGCATAGTTTCCCATAGTTACACTGTAGTTCAGGGTACCAAATGTGCATCCCAGACTGAGCACCTGGGACTACAAACTCTTACTGGGACTTGGGTGAGGGGAAGACCATCATGTTAAAAAACAATGCAGTTCATTGGAATGTTCTAGTAGTAGGAAAGTTTGATAGCATTTTCACATTATTATTTCACTCGTTATTTTGTGAATAATACTTAAAGACTTGAAATACTTCAGTGTACCTTCACAGTGATAGTGTGTAAAAGAACTAGACTATGAGAGTATTTAATGCAAGAACTCAAGAGTTTACAGTTTTCTAACTGTAACTACAACTATGTTCTTAAACCATTTAAAAAAGTATTTTGCAGCCCAGTAGGCCATGCCTGTATAGATCTCCTCACTCACAAGCCTTCACGACTTCTGTTGCTGATACCCTATGAAGAGATTATTTGCCTCATCACAAAGAACAAAAGCTGCTGGTTCTTTTGTTTTGTTGCAAACATGACTCATTCTAGAATTTGAGACTGTTTTTAACATTCTTTGATGAGTTTTAAGTGTCATTTCTTTCAAAGTGAAATACATAATACAGTTAAATTATTTACATAAATTTAAGTTTGTAGAAAAACAGTGGGTGTTCACAAATTCCAAACATATTTTTATGAACATCTCATGAAAGTGAGAACTACATTAGCTTTTCATCATAGGACAGATTTTCTTCCTGGTGTTTTGCCTACTGTTGTAAAAGTTTCCCAGAAGGAGCTTTAAGTATGGAAGGCTTTGCTGTCACGCCTTATTTGTAACTTACAGTTATGCAATTATTGTAATGTTTTCTGTTCTTTGGAGAAATATAATTCACTGTGTTAAAAAAAAGTGTGTAGCTAAACTGTTTTGATCTGTAGGGTACTCATGATGCAGAATTTAGTGTATCAGCCTGGTGAGTTTTTAGTCAGTTTTGTCACTGTTGCCTTGGTGTGCTGTGCTTTTACTTTGATGTGGACAATAAAATACCTACAGGTGAAAACTCCCTCTCTTAAAAAAGAAAAGAGTAGCACTTACCTATATAGTTTGCAAGATCATGAAATTCAGGTCTGTTGGCAATGAGTTCTTCTTTAGTTGGAATGTTTATTCCCATGTAACAAGGAAATCTTATGGGAGGTGAAGCCACGCGGATGTGTACCTGAATAAAAACAGAGTTTCAAACAAGACTGCTGTGGTGAAGGTCAGTAGTCCATAACAGAACAGCAAAGCCCCAGTTAGGCAAATAATCATGAAGAACAGAACACAGCACTGCACGGAAGAGTTAAAAGTAAGTTTTTTTTTCAGATGCCAACACAGCAGGAGAGAAAGAAAGTTTTAGGATTTATTTTACAGTATTTCCTAATGATAGTAAAAGGTTCCCATCCTGATTTTGCTTTGCTTCTGTGGTGTTCAGTCCTTGACGCACATGTTTTGGTTTACAAAATCAAATATACACAACATTTTTTCTCCAGTGACAGACTTGCACTCTCCATTTCATTAAAAAGTCTTAATTAATTAAACCCAGTGTGCTCTGGTAACTTAAGGCATGTGCTATTTAAATATGTGGTTGTACTTAATGCAGTACCACAGGTCACACATGCCAGGAATACCACACCAATACTTGATTTTCTGATACTAACTAATTTGCCTTCTATTCTCTATTTGCCAGATAATGCTTCATAAATGGAGACCTGTTCCTCTCCCCTTAACCCCTTAAATCACACAAATTTCACAGTCATACAAAAGAAATGCCTTAATCTGTCATGGGTGTCCTTGCCCATGGCAGGGGGGGTTGGAATTAGGTCCTTTCCAACCCAAATCATTCTATGATTCACAATAAACATGCACTAGGCATTGTCTTTTTTGCACACCTGCCCTTTTAAATAAGGAAACCATGTGTAGTACAAATAAAGACCAGTGCTTTACCCTCTTATCAGTCTTCAGTTTACATCTGTATTGTGCTAACTGAAAATTAACTTACCTCTTTGGCTCCTGATTCTCTCAGTAGTTTTATTATGGGTGAAATGGTATTGCCCCTCACAATTGAATCATCAATGATAACAACTCGCTTGCCTTTAAAATTATCAGACAGAACGCCAAACTTCTTTGCAACACCAAGTTGCCGTAACCTCATATTTGGCTGGATAAATGTTCTTCCTACATATCGGTTTTTACAGAGTACTTCAACATATGGTAGTCCACACTGTAAACAGGAGAGTTAAACAGAATTAAAATCTAAAGAGCTGGTTATTCTCAGCTACTGTTTTTTTAAAGCAACCTTAGGACTTAATATGACTTCACAGTAACCAAAAAACTTTGAAATACCTTAATATAGTGGAATAGTGACAGAAAAATACAAGTGCAGATGACTCAATAGGAGTACTGTGCATACTCAAGGTATAAAGCTTTATCAATACAAAACTAACAGCTCATACCATTATATTCCATTACAAAAAGAGCTCATTGTAAATATGCTTGGAGGAGAAAAAGACAGGTTAACATATACCTTTTGAGCATAACCAAGAGCTGCTGGGGTTGCAGACTCTGGGACAGTGCTGACCAGGTCTGCTTCCACAGGTGCTTCAATAGCAAGCTGCTGCCCACATCTTCTCCTGACTGAGTACACCATCTGACCTAAGAACAGCAAGAAGTGTTTTTTCCTGGTATGCATAATTCAGATTTCCTCTCAGTTTGCTGTACAAATCTCTCTGGCAAGTTCAGGCATAGGAGTCAGTGAGAAGAGCTCCACAACTAATAAACATTCACTCACATAAGGTCATTTTTTATTTCCTTCCATAATGCCATATTCTAACATTCATATTCATATCACTACACAGAGAATTAAAATCCAGTTTGCCCTAATCTGGTAACTAAAGGTCCTGTGGATGATACAAAATGTATTTAAAGAAAGAAAAGAGTAGAAATTATGCCTGCTTGTTTATAACATGCATATTCTATTTTTAGGCTGCTGTTCCCAGCAGACCAGGTTTGTGTAATCCTGCTGTTTGCCTTTGTCCAGTTACTAATTTTGAATCAGGAGGCAAAATTTACCCCAAAATTAGTAAAGGCATGAGAGGCCTCAGAAGCTTTTAAAGTCATAAAGCATTTGCAGCATGGGAGGGAACCGGAGGGACTGTGATGAGATAAGGCACAGCCAAGGGTACAGCAGCAGTACTGAGGAATATAAGAAATGAGGATATTTGAAGGGCAAGAGGATCATGAGAAAAAGGGATGTAGGGTGAAACTGGCTTTATGAGGATGGGGAACTGTATTGGATCAACAGATGGCATGTCCATAGAAAGCCAAGAAAATAGGTTCTTTGATAGGTATGAGTCCTGCCTTATATCTTTGCCAGTGAGGTAATTTTTGATGACTTCTACTGAAATAATAAAAGCATCAGACTGACAACCGACAACCCCAAGTACTTGGATAATGCACAGATTTACAAGTTATATTAAGAGCATCTTCCTGAAGTAACCCTTTCTTGCAAAGAAAATCCCAAAATAGGTTGGTTTTTGGGTTTGAGGTTTTTTGTTTTTTTTTTTCCATACCCTATTTCAGAAGTCATTTAAAAAGTATTCCAAGAACCAATAAAGTTCCTCTCTTAAGACTCTCACTTTTAAGGGATATTTCCTCTACCTTCATCATGATTGTGGCTCCTCATCCCTTCCATGGGACTAGGCAGGCAGCCTGACTGAGGCCATATGCACAGCCAGGAACAGGAAGGTGAATCAAGGTCATAGTCAGTGGTACCCTGCATCTATGATCCCAGATCCTTTCCAGAGTAATTGTTTTCCACAGTAACATCTCCCACTATTCAGGAAGGAGCTCTGTACATTATTATATTCTCACCTTCAAAAATACTATCTGGTCTTGCAAAATAAACATATTCAAAGATACAGAATGCTGACGGATCTCCTTCAGGTCTTGGTACAACATCCAGTGTCTGGACGTCGTATCTGGATATTTTCACAATCTCTCCAGGAAGGACCTCACGATAGTACCTTGAAAGAGAAATACACAGCATTTAGAAATGTCCTGAACCTGGATGGTAGTTTTGAAATATTAAAAAGATTCAACTGACAGGAACATCCTAGCACAATGATTTGCTTCTGTCTTAGGATGTGACCTGGAGGTTTTCAAGACCAACACACTAAGACAAGTGAACCTTACTAAAACAGTATGAATTGATACTCCAAAGCAATAAACAAATTCTCAGCACCTGAGAATTATGGTATTCTTCCTATATGGGAGATGTACAATACTCAAGTCTAGTACAGGCTTCATTGAGATAAAATATATTTTAATAATTTAGTCCTGGATCAATACTAGAGGACTTTTCTGTGAAAGCTAATTAACATTAAAATGCAATAGAAAAAACCAGAATGAACGTAAAGCTAACTGGAAATTACATTCCAATTCTCCTATCTGAAGCAATATGGAACAGTGTTAGGTTTATTATGTTACAGTGTTTAACCTTATTAAACATTTTTCTAGATCCTTGGGTGGCTATTCTAACAATTTCAATCTAAATCTATCCCAAAGCATTGAAATGTTCTGCAGATACAAATCAGAGGTGAGCAAATCTGTGATTATTGACTGGCAAAATACTGGCATTAGCAGAGAGCAGCACTGTCTACACAAGAAGTTCAGACAAAATTGCTTCCTTTGAAAGCCCACAGGCTTCAGCTGATGGTCCTGCATGATAAGCTTTTCTTAACAGAGATTTTAAAGAAGTTTCAGAAAATGGTTATTTTTATCCATACATAGAATAAATTGTCTCAAGAAAGCCCCTATTACCAACAGCTTATAGTTCCTACAGAGACAGTGTAGAAGTTACATCAAGGGAACACAGAACACCACACCTGCAATAAAACACTGCGGAATGGAATTAAGACCTCTAAAGTGCTGTCACATTGCTGCCTCATTTTGCTTTACATATCTTTTTGTTTGGTAGTTGTGTTCTTAATGCAATTTTTTCACAGTTTTATTTTAAGAGGATGCAACTTTACTTACTAGTCTAGTCCCAAAATGCACAGTTATATTGCCTGATTAGAAAATTAAATATGCTTCCTCATAATTTTTCTTACTTTAATCATGTTCTAGTTCACAGTTGCCTTCCACTCCAAATCTGTGGTCTCTTAAAGAGCCTCTTACCCATCTCTTTTTGTCCAGAAAAAGTATCACACCTTTCTTTTCAGAGGATCTTAGCTCGAGCGGTCATGTAAATGTGATCTCATGTTTTGGCTCTGATGGATGTTGGCATATATATGGAAATAGATTCAGGTGCCCATCATTTTTTTCAAACAAGCTTATTTTGTTAGACAGCATATGCTACAGCTCAGGTTAGTCCACCCACCCTGTGAGCTACCAGTAGTGTAACCTTTCTGTGATTGAAGAATTATTTTGCTATTCTGCTGCAAACATGCCTAAAATTAAAAAGTCAAAAATTAAAAAGTAAAGACTACACAGTAAAGCTGTCTTCACTGTGACTACCTGAACACATAATTCTTCTTTTACACTGATCTGTTCACGATAATAAACTGGCAAAAAAGAGCACCGCCAAAAAAACACCAAACCTCCAAACCACTCAACAAACTATTCTTTCATGTCTTTCATATTGTAATAGGTTATGATATTTGGCAATTTGAGGCTTAATGTTTAATTGCTGCCTGAGGAGAGATTTCAGAGAACTGTGGCACTTACTCTGCACCAATAGACAAAAAGCTACAGGATTCAGAAGAGACTACCCATCCTTCTGTTTCACTGTTATCTTTTCCTGAAACGAAAGATTTCAGTTGGAGTCAGACCACAATTCTTGTTACTGTTACCCCATACACCATTACATTTCTGCTGCAGTATCTGCTTTGTTTAGGTTGCCAAGTGCACAAGACTGTTATAATTTAAAACCAAAAAGTAGAATTCCAAAGTTTCTGTAATATTATTAAAAGAAAAATAATAACATACTGAATTCCTACAACGCAGGAATGCTTGTAAGCTTTAAAAAAGTCTTGATATTTTTTCTTGTGGTTAAAATTACCAAGTTTTGTGAAGATATAGGAGCATTTACTACTTTGCCTTTAAATTATTTTTATACAAACAGATTCTAATCTCACTCCATGGAAAATGCTGATTTGCAGGCTAAACAGGAACACAAATAATTTTCTCCATAAACTTACTGCATAGTTTTCTGTTGCCATACTACCTGTGACCAGGAGTGCTTGAAATTTAGAAATGTATTGCCAATAATCCAGCACTTTTCAGCCACCTTACTACAGAAGAAAAGAAGAAACCAGACTTGTTTCTGGACTGTACAGTGGCCCAAGCAACCAGCTCTAAGTGTCCCTGCCTGAGCAGGGCATTTGTACCAGAGGGCCTCCAGAGGTCTCTTGCAGCCTCAACCCTTCTGTGATTCTGTTCATCCCTGCTTTCCTGTTCGGCTTATGAGATGTTAATTACATTTTTCACAAATACTCTGTTACAGCTGGGCTGCCTAATTCTGACACTGACATCAGGCAAGTAGAATTCCCCTTTGCTGGGAACAGGAAAGATATTTCCAGACTTCCTATATTTTTTTTTTCCTTACCAACATTTTTTTGTTGTTTTAAATTTTCAAACCTGACCTTTGCATCGCATATTCCTGGTTACTTCTCAGTAAATGTAGCTTTAATTACTTATATATCAGTGATTTCAGGCACAAACTATATGAATATGAGTGTATGGTTTACCTTTTCCATTCATGTCCCCTACTGGAATAAGGCGACCAATGCAGAGTGGGCGATTCCCATATGGATCACGTACTGCATAGATTATGTCTTTATGCATAATTAGCAATGAATATGAAGTTGGAGTTTCATTCATTAAATTTTTTATTCTGAAATGAGACAAAGGTGAACATAATCGTGTGTCACACAAACAGCTGTGTGCATTTACAGCTGCATACATATCATGCTGAGATGCTGTTCTTGCTTCTGAAACCCATCCTCCTCACCTTGCCACCCAGTCGGCTGTATCGTCATTTTCTAGAGGAGGTGTGAAAGCCAGCAGCTGGGTGATCAGCTCACTGTCAGAACTGGTCGACAGCCCTACACCATGCCTCATAAGCTTTTAGGACACAAAGCAAAAGTGTTAACAACATTAAAAAGAAAAATCCCACGTAACACTGCTCAGATTTTAACTGAACAACACCTTTGTGCAATGAACTAATGTTTTTAAACAGATCCCCGCTTCAGTGGATCAGATCACAGTAACATCAAACTTCTTCCAACAAACCAAATATGATAAAAGAGCAGATACAGTCATCTATGACTGGTACTACATTTCTCCCTTTGCATCTCATCCTTTGCCCTGCATGCAACCAAAATTAATAACAACAATATTCAGGGCATAAATTCATGGTTTGGTTGTTTACTTAGCTTTGTCCTCCTGCTTGCTCTGGGAAGAGAGGTAAAAATATACAAGGGAAAATATGTAATCACCTATAGCAGATACAGAAAGAGATAACAAGGCTGAATGGTGATTTAGGAACAGAGCAACAACAACAAAAAGAGGCGTGAACGGAAACAGAATGGGATTAAAAAATGAAAATCCCACAACTTAGAAGTCTGCTGAATCTCGTCAGCCTAATTATTCTGCCTTGGTGTATTTACGCTTCTAAAGGAAAAGAGAATCTTCAGTGTATCTAGCTAATTATTACAACCCATTTAATGCTGTATGTATTACAGTTCCTAACTTTTATCTTAAGAGATCATTTACAATCATGGAAAAGATTTGCCACTGTCTGCATTTCCTCATCACTGTTGTTTTCTCCCATCTGTTTATACTCTTGTGGCTCTGATTAACGATGGGCAGGCTCCTTTGGGCATTCCATACATTTGCTTCGGTGCAGGAATATGAACTCTTTTGGATGGAATATATCATAGGTGTTATTTCATAATGAAACATCTGCTAAATTTTATTTGCCTTTTTAGCACATACCATTCTAGCCAAACACTATCAACACTCGATCAATAGGAATGTGACCATCAGCCTAGACGACTGGTGAATTATCCCCCAAGACAGTTACAAATGCCTCCCCTCCCTGGGACCTTTCTCCCCCCCAAATGATCTATTTTGATTATGGTGCTGTCTCACTACCCCAAGCAGCTTAACATTAAGGAAAAGTCAGAGCAAGTGTATTGGGGATACCAACCTTCCTCCTGAGTTGTATAGCGTTTGTTAGCTCCCCGTTGTGCGCCACAGCGATCTTCCCATGAAGAGTCTCTACAACAAAAGGCTGGCAGTTCTGTAGCTCAGAAATTCCTGAGGTGGAGTACCTTGTGTGCCCGATACCGAGGTTGGAAACATACAGCTTCTTCAGGCTGTCTGCATTGAAGACGTGATTTATAAGACCCATTCCCTTTGGGAGAAAAAAATAAAAGTTCTGTTTAGTTTTGTTTTCCTGGCAACTTTCTAATTTCTCCTCATGTTTGTTTTTAAAGCAAGCAAATTTAAGTGAAAAGGCAAATAACTGGGAAGACATGGGAAAGAAAGAAGCTGAGTAGGTGTCACAGTGATATACCAGATGCCATTACTCTGTTTTTAAATAAAGCAGTATACATCTTTGTGCTGTGGATTTTCATGTAACAATGTATTCTCTTACTAAAAATACATCTTCCGAAAAACGCTACCAAAACAACATATTGTTTAAAAACACCAGACAAAAGGACTGCCAGAAGGAAATTCTATGTAAATAATACCTTTTACAGGATGGCAGTATATTGGATTTACTTTTATACTGGGCCCATGATAATGTTTGTTAGATCCCACTGTCATTCTTGCCAATGTCAGAAGTAAAGCTTTCTCAAGAGATGTCACTGTTTACTTAAAACAGATTTTTCATATAGCCAGGTTGCCTTCTATGTGAAGCAAAAATGCATCAAAACTTTCTAGTCAAACATCAGGAGCATCGTTTGGCAACAAGCACTATGTGGAGGTAATTCAGTAGCAAGAATAGTCTGAAAAACCATACACAGAGAGTAGATATTAAAGACTGGATTCCAGGCCCTCCTACAAACTCCTGCTTCTGCCACTGCCTGTGGGAAATACTTACATCCTTCTAGTGCTTGGTTTCCCTATCGTGCGTGGCAATTGTGATACACACAACAGTACACATAACACTCCTCTAGGACCTTCAAAGATACATAGGAAAGGTCCAAAGCTGTGAATGGTTCATAACTTGTGTTGCAGGTACAACGACAAGAGAGTGGGATGGGACAGGAAGGAAAGAAATTGGTTGAACTGTTTTCAGAGCTCAACCAGAAAAGCTTAAAGAAAGCTCAGCTTTAGGGTATTTTCTGCTGTGACTGCTATGGAGTTGGAATACCAAGAAGCTATGGTTACACATGTGGTTTTAGGATACTTACATTAAAATGTTACTGCCTCAACAGTTGAGCTGGTATAAGCTTGCTTTAATGAGTCAACAAACTCTATGCCAAATAAATTATTATCTCTTGTCTCACAGATGAAATAAAGGGTGGTCTAAAGTCTGTGTTTTGTTCTCATATATGTACAGAAATGCAGTCATGCACTCCTATTTTACTTAGGTCAACTTTATCTTGACAGGAGATCTGACAGGTCCGGTCTTAACTGATGTAGCCAAGTTAAGCACTGCAATAGCTTAAACAAGCAATGTTTTTTTAAACCAGATTTGGTTACACAAGTACATAATCTTTTAATTGCCGTCTGAAATATTCCTCAGATTTAGACTATGCTGGTGTGGGATGCTGAATGTGAATTACACCAGTATAAAAAACTCCCAATGAAGACAATTTTATGTCTGTATTATGCAAAGCTTCTTTATTGTTCTGTATATCCAAGTGTGAAACAGTCAGTCTGTCTTTCTCCTTCTCACATCGCTATGTCTATACAAGAGATGTAAATTTTTCCACATCCTGAGCTGGTTAATACAGTATGACAATAATGTTCTGTTACACAAATCTAGCTGAAAGTCTCTGACAGACAAATCTGGATGATTCCTTCTGGGAGGTATTAAAACTACAGATTAATGTCCTTTGTAAAGGGCTATCAATCTGTGGTCTTAGGCTGGCAACAATCACAAGGGAACACATACACATGCCTTGGGCATTCCAGTTCATTCCAGTACTGCCTTAAGCTGTCGACAAAAATGAGTAAACTGATGAAGTGAGAAGCAGGCACCTTTTCCATTCTGTTGTCTCTGCTATGAAGAGTCAAAAAGGGTTTGGAAGACAAACAGGTACAGCAGCATCCTAACTGCTGACATTTTTATGGACTAGTTTACAAGTCAGAGTCCTAAATATACTTTCACCAGTGTAACAGACCCAAATGTTTGTTACATTAGCACCACTTCCAGGATTAAACAAGTCATGCAAATTGTATTCCACAAGCTCTTTGTTACACTGTGGTTATTACAGTTTTTAAAGAGCTGTAGCTGATGAGCATATTGCAAGGATAAAAGAAATCATCACATGCTCTGCAACTCTTAAAGTATCAAAGCTAATATGATCATATAGTCAATTAAATTCTTAGTGTGACAGCTAAGTGTTGCAGCTCAGTAACATGGAAACACTGCTGGAAGTTCATTCTAAGAAATACTTTCTACTATAGGATTTATAAAGCAGCCCCCTTTAAAGGAAGCTGAAATTACTAGAAACCTTATGGAAAGCTGAAACCCAAGCAGGAGCAGGAATGAAGGACAGACAACATGGTGCTGAAGTTGAGAAGAGCTGCATTCAAAAGTGTGTGTATGTGCGCGTGTGACTCAGACTGTAAGTAACAGATAGCAGGGGGAAATGCCGAAAGAGGTGAGAAACATGTTGCCTGAAGAGACAAGGTTTTGCATGATGCATTGAGCAGACATTCATAGATACACATACTGATGCAGCAAAGCAGTCTTAGTCTTGGGCTGATTTGAATCTTAATCTTCCCCAGAGACCTCTGGTCGTGAAGATGAACTGCTTTTTGATTGTGGTTGGAGGACACACATCAAGAATTGCCCCATGGTTATTCCGTGATATAGTTTTATTTCCAATCTTCTCCTCTTCCAGGATGGAATAGGCTGATTATTATTTTCTTCCTGATCACTGTTCAATACAGAATGAGCAGAAATATCCCCAGAGCATTGCACAGTACTTTTGAGGCTATGGCCATTTTATGTCTTTTAACTTTCCCTGGGATTCCCTCAGCTGAAGAATGAATGAAGGCTATCTTTTATTCTGTTTATTTTTACCTATGGGTAAAGCTGCCACTTCCTTGAGTCTCACTAACTCAAGAATTAGTTCTCCATTTGCCTGTGCATAGCCTGTAACTGTATTTCTTTCCTCTTCATCTCAAGTTGCATTGCTGCTATTCCAGATCTCCAGAGTTAACGCCTTAGGTGCAGGGTGACTTTGATAAATAGTTTTTGTAACATGAACATAATGTTGATACAGGATAATGTTGGCGTATTTGTTTTAAACATTACATCACTAAACAAACATCACAACAGAAACTGCACAAATAACAAATAATGTTACTGACAAAACAAAACAGCCCATCATAACATGTTAATTCCTAATTATTCTGTTTCCTAGCTGAAACAAACCTTCATGCATCTTGGCTTGGCATCTAAAAAACATTAATTTACATTTTACCTTGTGCACTTTGAATGCCTGGGATGACTCTCCATCACTTGTCACAATTCCAGCACTCTCCTGGCCCCTATGGACAAAATAAAATTAACATAAAGCACTGAAATGTTGAGAATGAAATGCTTTAACATACAGTGAATTGGTGTTTTCTCATCTACTCTTTACAACATGAAATTTTAATGTATGCCTGTTTGTTACTTGATTTTACAGGCTTGTAATTACAACTGGTTTCTTGCCCATGTTATGCTTCATTTCAAAACAGTCACATAAGGTTTGTGCCTAAGCCCACTGAATTCAGCAGGACTCCTTCCACTAATAAGCACTGGCTCAGGCTCTTACTGCAGTCCTATTTCAGTGTGGGCATAAAATAACAGCAGATGCTTAATCTGAAAAGCCACTTTGCAGTGATAGTAGTCTAGGCTGTAGTAGTAGGCTCAACAGTGATACTCTATTTCTGCTTTGGGTGGTGGTGGGGGGAGAGGTATTAAGAAACTCATGGCTTTGTGTCTTCCACATTGTGTCTTCCACTGATCACCTCTGCAGAAAAGCTTTTGCATTCTTGCCTTTAAGAAGACAAGCTAGCATTTACACCTCTAAAAGCTATATGCACACTCCGATAAAAGCATTTGAGCACATAAAGCTAGTATCGGGCATCACAGCTTCTGAACTCAAGCAAAACAAGTCTGGTGTACGGTGTCACTGCAAATGGAAATACTTCTCTTACAGATCACCCTCAGGCTGGCAGCTGTGCTTTGCTGCTCGCAAGAGCTGTATCAGCTGGGATGACAGTGTTTTTCCCAGCTTGCTCCCAGCCCTCCCCAAGCCTGCCTGGGCCCCCCCCCAAGCTGTGCTGCCGGAAGCAGGCAGAGTACTGCATGGCTGCCCAAGGCTTGTATTTCAGACCCTATCCATTGGGAAGGTATGCTTTGCAGACTGATTGTTTGTGGGTAACAGTGCAGGCCACTCCATCTCCTGTTAAAAGGCTTTCTGGAGAAAGGCAGTGTTACCTCTGACAAAACTGCTGCCATGTGCCCACTGTGCCTGTAACTCTCCTAAGGACTTTGGGGGACTGGTAAGCTGCCATCCACTCCCATATGTAATAACGACTGAAAACCAAAGATGCTTTTCTTAAAAAAGGAAACGGGGTATTTTTAGCATATTAGATAAGATGCTGCTTGTGCATTAGACTGGTTTAACTCAACCAGCGTCACTGGAATTATTTAGCATAAGCAACAATAAAATTGGGCACAAATATATCTACAGAATGGCCATGCTCACTATGAATCTTCTCCAGAGCCTAAAATTGGTCACTAATGGACCTAAAATTGGTCACTAGCCCCAGCTGTACATAAAGCAAAATTTTAAAGAACATTTGCTTGCAGAAAGCAAAACGAAACAAACTGAATGAATTTACCCTGTTATTGACACAGACCTTCAAGAGAAAATCAGAGATAGAAGACATTCTTAAACCTGTTTATTTTAACTCAGGAAGATGTCTTGTCTATAAATACAAAGATGGGTGGTAAACTTTAAAGGCTGACACACAGCATTCAGCAACTTTTAATTCCAATGTTAATATTATAGGCAATTTCTATTTAAATACTGGCACTGTCACTTTAAATATCAACAAAATTAGTAGTGAGAAAGAGGGAAGCAACCATCCCAGCAAAGGCCCACGCAAGTCAAAGGCCCTTGTCAAGTCATTGGGTTATGCCTTTCATGTAGTGCTAATGAAACAGAAGGAAGCTCAATATCATTACCTCAAAGTTCACACAATTTTATCAATTCAGCCAGATTTTGAAGTATGCAAGCTTTGCATTAAGTATCAGTAATAACCAGTGAATATTAGAGTTTAAAATGTGCACGTATGACCACCAATTCAAAACCAGCTGAGAATAAACACAAAGCAGGATGACCCCATCCACATCAGTGTCTTATCAACCATTGCAGCTTGTCTGGCAGCTCTGCCCCATAGTTCCCAGCTGTTATCCCGCGGGAGGCGGGAGCTGCCGCAGCACCCACCCCACCAAGGGCAGGCACGAATGGGTTTTAGGGGGCTCTTTTCATGTGTGTGTGTGTTTATTTTAAGGCGCAAGATAGCGTGACCCTCTGTATTCCCTGTGTCCTGGGGATTACAGAGGACAGCGCTGGCAGGGCAGCCCCTTCCCGCAGAAGGGTTAACACTGCCACACCGCCCCAGCGGCTTTTCCCCGCGGGATCCAGCGCCTAGCCCGCTTATTTGGCAGTTTCTCAAGTTACTCCCCTCAGGCAGCTTGAGCCAGTAGAACTAGATCCTTTCATCTCGGTGGAGCTTACTGACAACCAGCCGCCTGGTTTCCTAGGAAACAAAATCTTGGCTAGAAATAGTGAATCATTTCCAGGTCACTTTCAACATGGAGAGTGGAGCAGGGAAGCATTGGACTGAGGAGGAGGTTAAAGCCTTGTTAAGCGTCTGGTCAGAAAAAAACATCAGAAAGCAACTCCATGGCACCCTGAGGAATAAAGGGATATTTATCTACATTGCTAAACGGTTGCAGGAGTTAGGAGTTTGCAGGGATTGGAAACAGTGCCGTGCAAAGTACAAAAACCTCAAGTATGAATACAGAACGGTTAAATATGCCCACAACTCTGGGGATGTCACTAAAACCATGAAGTTTTTCCATGACCTGGATGCCATATTGCGATATGAACCTGTCACACAATTAGCGGCAGAAGAGAACGGCATGGGTTCTGTGACTGAGGCGCAGCTGAACACGAGCCCCACAGCCGAGAGCACGCAAGGTAAAAACCTGGTTTTTTGCTTCTATTTCTCTCTCTTTGCTAAACACCCAAAGGGAACAAAACCGAAGCCTGAGTTTGCTGCTGGAGCCGAAGCGGAGGCTGCGCAGCCCCAACAGCAGGGTTTGAACTGACTTGATGCGCTCCTCACGCAGGGGAATAAAATGTTAGCACCCACCAGTGTCGAAGTCTGTAAATACAGCGTAATTCTGGCAAAATTATGCTAACGGCTTGTACTGCAGCCTCGGAGAATGCTGGCTCCTGTCAAGGCTCCTGCACCCAGTTGAAACATTGAATTAAGAAAAGCCGTTTTCTTTCTGTTTGCAGTACTTGGGAAGCAGGTTTTGTAGAGCTGCAATTCAGGTGTCAAGGGTGAAGCTGTCATGAGGGGTTTAAAAATTGTTATTTGTGTTATAAGTGAAATTTAGGATTTTTATTCCTATTTCTCTGTAACTGAAAATTTACATAGGATGACTAAAGGTAAATTAAATTATTTTGTAAGCAACTCAACTTAAATATCTGAGAAACGAGGGATATTTAATAATGTCTCATTAAAAATTGTAATACAGCGAGGGAAGTAAAAATCATCACGTTTATCAGACTATTTTGAGGCAAACCAAATGAATACAACTGCTTTTCTTCTGAAGGAGCTTTTACCAGACTATTTGCATCTCTTGTTTTATTCAGCCCTCTCTACCTACGCATTTAAGCTGTGCTTAACATTTCATTAGGGTCAATCTGCTATTTGACATCACTCAGATCTCCTTGTCCCATTCTAAATGTCACTGAAGCATAAGCCCCAATAATAGTTATAAGTACTAAAATAACATGGCTAAAAAGAGAAACGAAAAGCTTAGCTGTTTGTTCCCACAGTACGTGGCAATTTACATTAAGATTGTGAATCTTTTTTAGGAAAACAAAAAACTCAACATTAGTATCAGGGGAGACTGCCAAAGGCACGGACAGGAGCTGGACATCTGACTGGCTCTAGTACCTTTCCATGTCTGCCTCTACAATACTGTTTTACAGGTCTGAGTAAAATAAATTGCCATTTTTCTTGTCATTGTTTACCTTAATGAACAGCTTGACCTTAATCTGTCATCGCCAGCAGAAAGCCTCTAATCTGTCAAAGTCACTTTAAATTAAAATGGCATTTTTTTTTACCATGTGCTCTCTGCACAGTGTATTGCAATCCACTTTTATTTTTAAACTTGCAGAACTGAGGCCAATACAAGCTGTTACATGAAACTAAGATAGTGTCCTTCATCTGAGGATCTGCCCTTAGGTTACCATCTGTGTTTCAGTGTAGTCTGCACCAACTGTTAATCCCAATTCGCATCTGCCTTAGGTCTCTAGCAAATTTAAATCAGAAAAGGTTAATTTCAGTTGTGAATCCCACACTACAATATGTGTTAAAAAAAAATTACTCCTGGCTGAGACACACCTAATTTTGAAGTATTAGGACAGTCTGGGTCTAAAACTGGTATAATTAAATATCTCTCCTAAATGCATAAGCATTTCTGTTCCTCCCTTAAAAAACAAACCAAAACAAAACCCCAAATGAAAGAATAAGCAAAAATGTAAATGCAACTAACTGTAATAATAGTACAAGAATTTAAATGCAAGGATTTTCACAACAACCCTAATTCAGACACAAAGAAAATACACTAAGATAGAAGTGTGTCTTGCAGCTATGAAGGATGCATACAACCATAACAAGGGGCAGAGAGAAGAGCTGTGAGAACATCAACTTTCTTCATTTAAGAATACAGGTCAGGCAAGTAATTGCAGTACTAGAGGACCAGTCCTTTTCTGACTGCAGTCGGAGTTGCAGTGTCTGCCCAGCCCAGTACTTTGAAGGGCACTTGTATGGCTAACATGGCATCTGTGGCTTTGCAGCTGATGCTCACAAGTTCTTTCGTGGGGGCAGATCTGACAGTGTTGCTCCCACAGAAGGGAACACAATTCCTTATGTTGCTCCCATGGAAAAGAATGTGATTCCCAGCAGAGGCAAAGGCAGCCTGCTGCCACAGCCCCAGCAGTGGACCTAGCTGCTCCTCCTCAGATCGTCAGAAGGAAGGGGACTGCTTTAATGTGGGTATCATCATCCCTAAGGCAGACAGACCAAAGTACATTTCTGTCCCTGCAGGTTCCCTTCTCGCTCCTCCCTTTCAACCACAGAGCCTTAAGGGAGAGGGGGGAAAATCGTCCCTCCCCTCTTTAAAGAGAGGCTGAGTCTCCTCATGTTGACAGAGCTGGAGGAATCAGGGATGTCTAGGCTTGTGACTTGGGTAGCAAGAACAAAATACTGTCATCAAACTAAAACCTGTGCAGAACAATACTGTCCACCATGCATGTATCATTTTGTTTGAAGAACTCGGGAGCTATACTAATTTGTTTTGTTTAAAAAGCACGACAAGGGACAGGGCATGCTCCCAAAGAAGTGACTATATTTTTACCATTCTGCTTAGCCTCAGCAAAATACTCATATCCATCCTTAATGTAAAGCTAAGATTCCTCGGGAGGGAGAGGAAAGGAAAGGGAAGAGAGTTAAAAACAGACTACTTTTATGGGGCTGAATGGTATTTCTTTAGTGTTTACTTGAGTTTTTTTCTTCATATCTGGTAAAATGAGTTTTCTTTTGAAAGTGTAATTGAATAAATTAATACTGAAAATCACAAATCTAAGAGAGAGGTGTCTCAGCACAAATGTGGTAGCAATACACACACTAATTCCCAGCTCGTTCATGGAAGATGACACTTTCTGCATAAGCACAGTCAGCAGGGCAAGCCAGAGGTGTCCATGTTGTCCCCCAAAACATGTTTTCAGAGGCACAGCTGTAGCTTAAATACTAGTTATAACAGGTAAAAGACAACATTTTCACCTGTCTTAAAACCTAATTTGTGTATTATCCTAGTAACCAACAACAAAGAAAATGCATGTGGAGTGATGGTGAGCTATCAGAAATGGTATCTTTCATTAGAGTTCAAATGAATGACCTTTCCATTTCCTTAACCGGTTTTGCCTGTTCCAAAAATCAAGTATAAATAAATCTAGTACATGATTTGCAAAAGTTAAGCTCACCTAGTAATTCATGTTGAGTGACTTATACTCTTTGATATTTCTCTCTTTATGTATGTTTAAATATTAATTCACTGGTCACTTTCCTTGACCTTCACCTTACCATAGCAGAAATATTACCAGTATTGCAGAAATATTACCAAGTCTGGGCAAAAATGCATTAGGAATGACAATATTATCTTATGTACAAAACTCAGACCGCTACTAGAAATCCAGAAAGATCCTTCAGAAATGCTGACTTGAAAATACCACTCATGCATAATTTTCCATGACTGGACTTTAACATTAAAGATGTCATTAACAAGTATTTTATATACCTTTTTTAAAATGAGTCTGAAGTACTCTTTATCAAGTAACTTCTTTGCTCATCAGATGCTTGTTTTTTTCCCACCAAACATTTAAACATCTTTTTGTGTGTGTGTTAACAGTTCTTAAGATAGTAACTTGTTTCTGTTTGATATTACAATGTAATTAAACCTGCTCATCCTAGGACCCAGGTCACACTCAGCAGCCTTCCAACAGAGTTAATTTCCCCTCCGCATCATCGCCTTTGTAACAAACACTTCAGCAGGTCAAACGCCAGTCCAGGCGCTAGAGGTGAAGGCCTGAGCACACCTTTCCCTCCTCAGCTGCCCGCAGGGGGGTAGCAGCTCCTCCCAGGGAAGCCAGGCAGACAGCTGGGAGCAGTTGGAGATGAGGCCACTGCATCCATGAGTCACTCTGAGCCCTGCTGAAAGTCAGGAGGATTTAGGACACTGTTTTCAAATGCAGTGTTCAGTTTCACCTACGTCAGGATACCAGACTGCATCCCAGCCGCACCTCGGTACGGTTCCTGTGACGAACTATTGCAGCACCTTTGAACAAGGCAGCTTTGATCTCTGTGACCTGCCTGGCTGGAGCTGACAGTAGCTCAACTCTTGTACAGTGAATCAGCATTTCAAATCTCCTGACAGCATGGAAGGTTGAATACAATGCATTGCCATAGAACAACTTAAAAGTCTGTCCTCCGTGAAAATTAAGCTGATTCAGAAGCTGACATATATGCTGCTTTCTACACTTACACAGAAATTGATATGATACTACTTTTAAAACAAGTGTAGGAATGCTATACTGTAAAAAAGCTAGACTGAATCCTGTCAGCATTCTTACATTTGTTTAAAAAGCAGTTCTCTAGTTGCAATGCTTTCATGCTTTCCCTATGCTATTAATGAATTTCATAGATTTCCAGAATTCTTTGCAGAACATTCTTGTTATCTTCATATTCTTCTTGGATTTTTCTTTTACTTTTTTTTGTTGTATGGATGGATTTGCGGTTAACTGAATCTGTGTGCAAAGCCTATTTTTATTTGTATGTCTCTTACTTTTCATTATCTACTTTAAAACTCCTTTTAATGTGCTACGCAACCCATATACTGAGTCAAGAAAGCATACAAGTCACTAGAATCGAGTCAGTTTCTACAAGAAATATTGAGATACATTCCAAACAGGCTTCATCTGCAAGATATAAAATAATTTCATTTACCTCCTGTAACTTCTGTCTCCTTGTAGGGACAAGCCAAATTAATTTAAAATTTAATTTAAATACAAATTAAGTGTGGAGATTACAAAGTTAATAATCTTATTATCTTCCAAATGTGTATGGACATTTTCACTTAAATTAATTTAAGCTAATTTAGTCCATACTTATTTTTCATCTAAAAACTCTTTCCTTCCCAGGTGAAATATCAATTTCTTTAGAAGATGATGAGGATGCTCCAGGAGATCCACTACTTTTTATGTCTCATGTCAGACCTGTTCAACTAGGTATAGTATGATGGCGCAGAGATCAAAACCTAAAAAGCAGCACTTTCCAATAGCTTGAATACGCCGTCATTCCCTTTTCTCATCAACATAACTTTAAAACAGCCACACTTTTTGCACCATCTCGTTTTACCACTTGCAGTCTAATGCATCACTAGGTATTGACCACTGTACATGATGCAACACTTGCATGACCACTGTTCACGTTCAAAATACATCACATGCTATAGCTTAATCATATCAATCAGATTAATTTTATTAAATGCTACTGGAAAGTATGCCAAATGGTAGTGTGTGATACCCATGTCAACTTGTGGATTTTCTCTAACTCATGTAATTTTTTCTTAAAACAAGCATGAGTGAATGGCCTGAGTCAGGAAAGATGCAGAGGTCAGACCCATCCCACTGAATAATGCAGATTTCTCAATGCTCTCCAAGCAAAGGGTGGTCAGCAATGCTTAAGTCCAACCACATACAACAACCTATTCGGAAGCCATCCTCCAGTTTTGCTCAGGAAAACCATCCTATAGTTTTACTCAAGAAAGTCATTACAGAGCAAAGGCACAAACCTGGCAGGCCAGAAGGAGAAAAAAGATCCTAGGTGTGAGCCCCTTCAGGGGGCTGCTAAAGGAAATGGAGAAACCTGAACATTTTAGGCAGAATCAGGCAACCAATGAGCTGATTCCTTGCCTGGATGAAGAGCAGCACTGTCCTGAATTTCCTACTCATGCTTTACATATATTTTTATATATATATTTATATACCCTCTATGCCTCAGCATACATCCCAATCCAGTTACAACTTCACTAATCTCCAAGGTGCCATATTCAAGGAGAAAACAAAGACCCACCTAAACCTATGGCTTTTACGTTACACACTATATGCCTCCTGCCTGGCATAACAAGAAACAAAGGAAGAGACAAGAATCTCTCATGGAATTATATCCATATATATATAAACAAAACTTTTCTTGCACTAAAAATCTGAGTCAAATTTCACAGGAATATGTCTGTCTCACTCTTGCTCTTGCAACACACTGGCAACCAGATTCATTTTGTTTGCTAAAATACGTTCAGTCCTCAGAAAGCTGCTTTCTATGAAACCAGCAAATTAACTTCAGTTTGCATGGGCTCTCAAGTACATATTGATACTAAAATGTCTTAACCTAGTGCCTCTCTTAGTCTTTAGATTTCAGGCACTATTTCAGACACCGCTGAAAGAGAACTTTGAGGCCTTTGTATCTATATTGCTGTATATTTTGGTTTCATTTCAGCAGATTTCTCATTTTGAGGAAGCTTAGAAAAAAAATCTGATATGGCATAAACACACCTTTTAGGTTAAAAAATAACGTATACCCTGAGATAACAATTTTTTTTAAACAAATTAGAGCTAAATTACATTTGAGACCTGAGGAAAATTTTCAGTGATCATAACTTCCTTTCAAAGTGGTGTTTCTGGGTAAGATATTTTGAATCACTGTTTTTTAAAGGGAAAGAGAAGCAAAGGCCACTGTTTTCCACTCTGAATATAGCAGAACAAATGAGCAATACACTGAGTCACTAGAAGTTATTTGGACTAATATTCACAACGGAATGTAAGCTCAATTGCAAATGAATTTACTAGTGAGAAATAGTGGTCTACATAAGAACTAAAGGATCCCTCCCAGATTGCCCCACAGTCTTTGTCTGGAAGTGCAGGAAACACCTTCTGCATTCTTCTTCCTCTTTTCTTCCCCTGAGCCTTTTCTCTCTGGTCTCTATCTGGCAATGAAGAATGAACCATTGTGGAAATGCAGATAGTTGAAATACTCCCAGTAACACTGAGCACAGACTACATCCAGCCCGTCTGATGCTGGCAGTTGTCGAGCGTGGCAGTTCCTATGGTTGCATTCACCTGTAAAGGAGCATTTTCTTTGACTTCCTCAGGAAGAAATGAAGAAAGCATAATAGATATGTCACCTGAAAATTATCCTCCTCAACAACATATCAGTGGGCTGGCTGCTGCAGAGTCCTGATTAACATAGAAATAACAGGGAAAAACTGACACCTGCTAGTACAGCTTTTTCCCAAGTAGAATGAATTACAGAGACTAGCAAAGAATGCCTCTATCTAGGACAAGTTTGTCCCCAGACAGGTAGTTATGCACAAGTATGCTTCACTGGGGCTGTATGTACAAGCGAAGGTCAGATATTTTTGCCATCACACAAAGTTCGGTGACTATAAGGTATCAAACCCCCATAACCTGGCTTGCCCTTTTAGAATAAGGCACTGGCAAATGCATTTATCACTTCAATATAATTCATAGTTAGAAGCAAGGAAACACTAAAAAACTGTAAGAGATCATATTTCAGTGTTTTAAGTAATTGCAGGGCATCCATTATCCCTAATATTAAAAAATAAAGTTGAAGAGTGGAGAACATTTAAAAATATCTTAGTTCTGCAGAGTAAGATAACTCTAATTTTTACTTATAAAAAGACCCAAATGATTTTGATTGGCCTGCAGTGAGCATAGTGAAGGTTCTGTACCATAAGAAGCAGGTTCATTATTACACCAGTCCCTGTGTGGCTTAAGACAAAAGTCTCCATTCCTCAGCTCCCCACAGACAGGGTGCTTTGTTAAAGAGTTAGGATCAGATTCTTCAGATCCTTGCCCAGTTTAAATCTCTGCACATGTAAGACCAAAAGCATGGCATGGATGCAGAAAGTCTTGAGCTAGTGTTAGTGACTCAGGGCACAGTTTGTTACTGTGCTAATGCAGCAGTAATGTCTGAACAACAAAACAGTTCATCCTTTATTTTCAAATGTGTTACAAGTAAAGTTCAGTGTATTAGGTCACGCCAGAAAGAAAAAACCCTCTTAGATTAATTAAGGGTACATATGCTATCTTTACACTGGTTTTCAAGAGAAGGCAGAAATAATGTCAGAATTAACAAAAATGCTGACATATTAATACCCAACAGCTTTATTTTAATGTCACCTCTGCTCCGTCTTTCTCTGGAGAGACAAGTCTTGAGGAAATTGCATACTTCATTCTCATTCTCTCTGTCCTTTCCCAACCACCCAATGCAGGTAACCTATATCTGTGTCTCTCCCTTACCCCACACGATGCAGGTAATCCAGCGTCAGCAATAGAGGCTTCCAAAACATCGACTTTTATCCCAACAGTAGCAAATGAAGGAGGAAAACACTGGACTGTTAATGAAGTCAGAGCTTTGATACGCATATGGTCAGACAAAAATATCCAGCAACAACTAGAGGGGACAGTGAGAAATAAAAGAATATTCGAACAGGTTGCTGCTAGACTTCAAAAGTTCGGGATTGACAGGGACTGGAAGCAGTGCAGGACTAAATACAAAAATCTGAAACATGAATACAAGAGTGTAAAAAGTGCCCAAGACTCAGGGAGTGCAAGAAAAAGTATGAAATTTTTTAAAGAACTGGATGCTATTCTGGGCCACAGCACCATGGAACAAGCAAGTAAATCACATAATGATGAAAGTGAGAGGCCTCCAGAAGGGACAGAAGCAAAATCAGAAAAGAACTCCATAGGTAAGTACTTCAGCTACCCATATATCATTTAATCCTCCCTACCCCAAGCAACCAGGTAGATTAAGCAATTTGCTGGGGGGAGCAAGAACACTGAATGGAAACTTACTATTTTGTCTAGTAGTTTTGTCTTACTTTATAATGCAATCTTTCAGACTGAGCGATTGCCCCAAATATTTTAAATGGAACAGAGAAACAAAAGGAGGGGGAAAAGATGAATATGTAATATAAGACAAAGTGATACAGAGGGACCAATTTCAGTCCAAATCATGGCAGAAGAGACTGTTTCCAGCTTAGATGAAAAAATGGATCAGACTGATGGTCAGACTGTGGTACTGGAAAAATGAAGACATTGAGCAACAAAGTCTGTAGTTACAGACTTTGATTAGAAGACTAAAATGCAATCTGTCAATCTTTTATGGTCCCCCATAGCCCAGTTTTACAGGCCTTTGGAGCAAGGCTCTCAAACTAGTGAGACAACTATTGTGAAAACAGCAAAAAGGAATAGCACCAAGAATGCTGGCTGAGCTTGCCTTTTCTTTTTCTGTGGTTATTGATGAATAACTTGGTAATGGATGGATTAATGCAGAATTCGAGTAGACTGATGAATTAAAACATTTTTTATTGGCATGTGTAACCACAAACATGCCTGTTGTTCAGAAGAGAATTAAACAGAAAACTCTACACAGGGGATGATATTACAGTGGCCAAATGTAAACCTAGAATTTAGTAAAGTAATGGAAGAAGTCAAGAAAAATGTAACACAGTCTCTGGTTGAAAACTGAAAACATTTTGAGAGAAGATTCACTCTTTAGTTGCAGTTTCTAGGTTTTTTGCTAATGCACCTACTACTGCCTGCTGGCATAAAGAGCATCCTACGTTGGACAGATCTTTTGATTTGACAAAGCACAACTGTTCTTATGTAGTACAAAATGCACTGCCCTAATTAACATAGCATTATTTATGCAGAAATGCCTGGAGACACAGGTGAAGAGGACTCTGTTAGTAATATGTCAGAAGACCTACAGGTTGCAGATATAAAGAAATTTTCTGACTCAGGTAAACTGAAAAGTCTTGTATTTTATATAAATCTCTAAACGTAGCAAATTAAGATAGATAAGCCGATATTGTAATTACCGTTAGAAAATGCAGAGGCCTAAAAATTTTATAAGCAGGAGATAATGTCATAGTGCTAGCCATACCTTCAGTACAGGCATATGTGCACATTTACAGCACTGCTAAATTTAATAAAACACAGTCTAGCAAGTAATCTTTTCAAAGATTCATGACCCAAGATGTAAAGAAGAAACTATTGGTTTAAGCAAGTTAAATGCAAAGTATTACTGCATTTACTTTTACTTAAGCTATGTCTTCCCCAAGGATTAGAACTGTCCAGTCTCCTGTACATGAACGAATAACACATTCTTTTTCACAATAGAACGTGATCAGTATTTAATGTAATTATGTAAATGCTCACGCAGGGGATAAAAACTTCATTAAGAGTATCACTATGAGCACTGAATATGAAGGTCATATGCTTTTCACAAAGAAACATTATGGTTTACATCTGAAAGCACAACTTTCAGGGGAAGCAAGAGTTTCACATTCAGCTAGAGATACATGAACGTCTCAAAAAACTGACAGACCTGACTTTCCACAAGAGGACCTCATGATCTCTTTCAGTAGCATGAGGCAGAATATGGTCTAAATTAGGCATTAAGGAGTAGTCTTACAGAATTTAAGATGGTCTAAGATGAACTTGAAAGATTTTAATAGCAAATTAAAAATTTTCTGACAGATGATGTTACTGTAAATACTACTCCAGAGAACTGGGCAGCTCTGCGTATAACAAAAGAAACAGCTATGCCAAGTAAGTCATAATGCTAACATAATTAGGTATTACATAAAGCAGGAAAAGATGCACTTTTTTTACGTAACAGTGTCATGGAGCCCCTTTATTCTCCAGTTGTGGTACATGCCTTTCCTAGATAGTTCACATACTTTTAAAATGAGAAACTGGTAAGTACAGAGATTGTATGCACCTCTGTATTCATCAATATACTTGCTGATAAGTGGTGTAAAAGGCAATCAGGCAGTGATACATCACACTGGTTATCTGGTATCAGCAGATGTCTGATGATCAGGATATGACTTCCTAAGTACTACTCCATATTCAACAGAACTTATGTAGAAAACTGTTTCCCAACAAGCATATAATTATAAGTTATACATACTCATGTGCCTTTAAAAAGAAAAGTAAACCCACCCAATTTGACATAAATAGGAATGCAGAAATTCTGTTGACTGTGTGTCACGGTATCTTCTTAATACATGGAGTTAATGTACTTTGCAGTCAGAGTCATTCGTACACTTCTCTAGATAATACACTAGATAGCCTGGGCAGACATCTGCTTTCTGGCAACCGCAGCTGCATACGTGCGTAGAAGTGCACAAGCTGCCTCAGAAACGCACATGCTTCTCACCATCTTACATGTGAATCTGAGTTATTAGCCACATTAACACTGTCACAAGTGCCAGTGTTTATAAACAGACTAGTCAGGTTTGCCATAATCTAGTAAATTAAAAAAAAAAAGGTATTAGTCAAAAGACAAATACACCAGTTTCAGGGAAATACCGAATTATTTGATGTTTCATTGCTTTTCACAACCTCTCCCGCCGTATTTGCTACTCAAAGAGCAGCAAATGCCCACCTGAGAAGGAAAAGACAGAGCTAACTCAATCCTTATGTGTTCTACATCTTCAACAGACTAGCCAGCAGAGGGTGCAAGAGTATCACAGCAGCCGCAAGCCCACGTCGTTTTCAGCAAAAGCAGCCCAGGAAAGGCTGAGGCCACTGAAATTTTTCTCTTTTCTGGTAAAAGATGCTCATATTAAATCAATCTGGCAATAAAAAACTTATGTGGGCACTTCTACTGATATTTATATTTCACGAATCACTTTTAAGGGCAGTTAATTCCAGAAATCTACTTAGAAGAGCAAGTTCATTCAGTTTACACAGGCAGTAGCAACTCATCAATTCAAACTCCATATATATTTCACGTGTCAACTTCACAGTAGAACCAGAGACTGTGTATAGATGTTTGATTAATCTGAAGTGCCAGGGAAAAACAGTGAAGATGAAAACAAGATTCTAAGGAATGCCGGTAGCCTGATAGTTCTTAAAAAATACCTACAGCAAGTTATTTTGCTTCAAACAAAGTACTTTTCTTGCAATTATTTTTTAGGATTTTTGGTGCCCTGCATGCTTTACTACATGTCTTTCTCAGAACAAATCTGGAGTAAGTCATGACACTGCCAAAATGCATTCCTAAGCAAGGGCTTTTTAAAAATCTCTTGTTTAAAGTTAAGATCTTAAGTCGGTACATGCTCAGGAACTTACTGGCTCGAACACTTACTGCTGTGTGCTTGGAATTTTAAACCGTTCAGATATAAAGTCAAAAGATGATAATGAATGTTTTAATATGTGTGCCTCAGGCTGGTGTGAAGTAGAGTGTCTCAGTGAAACATGAAACCAAAAGTTCTTGATTATTCACCGGCTTAGCTCAGGGCACACTTGGGCTGCTGACACAAACTCCTAACTGCGTGCAAGTTCCCTTTATCCAGTCTGATAGTCTGCACGACAGAAATGGCAGAAACTTCAAATTACTGATCTTGCCTCATGAGCCAGAAAACAGGGTAAACAGTGATAGTGAGAGAGTGCCAAAAGAGAAGAGAGCTTTTATCAGTCTGAGTGGGTAAAAGGAAAGACTGCGACAGCATTGCTCTGGTGGCCTTGTGAGCAATGCTTCAAATACAAAGTACAGATTTAAGCATATTTACTGGCAATTGTCTATGGTTTCACTAAAGCTTCACAGTGAATGGAGCCACCGTGTTTTATTCATGCCAGAAACTGCCGATGGTTTGTTCTGTTTGGCTCAGTCTCGCTCTCCTCTTGCTTTCCCTCCAAAAGCTCTGATCAGTGGCTTAAAAAAAAAGCCAAGCTCCCTATCCACATTCTTGTCTCACTAAGAAATAAAAATAAAAGGCACATGATGCAGGTCATATAGTAAAGAACACCTGATACAAACAAGGTCATACTGATTGGTGACTAATTTTTAATAAAATGGCTCTAGATTATGCTTCATTACTCAATGTTTAAGGGCAACATTCTTGAATGGACTGAGAATGAGCTGGGAGCTGGAAAATGCTGTCATTGATCCATGGTGTGTCCTTCACCATTTAATCTCTGTACAGCAGTGTCCTCACCTGGTAACCAGGACTGGAAAGGCCACTTGCATCATCCGCCTGCCCATCCCTCCATCCCAGGACAGAGAGGTGGAGTTCTCCCTTAAACACCAGAGGCCAATGGCAGAGGAGCAGAGCTCTCCTCCCCGTGGAGGGGAGCCCAGGGACACCTCTGTCAGGAGGGGCCCAGCTGTGTGATGTAAACCCCCCACAAGCTGTCAGGACAGGCATTTAGTACTTTTATCAGGCAGGCAGCCTTGCTGATCAGTCGTCCAGGCACAGCACCCTGATGCAACATCAAGCCCCTTGTCCCTTTTGGGGATGATTCAGTGACTACTGGCATCAGTCACCAGAGAGTCTTTCAATAATTTCAGTCTGTATTGAAGCACCCCTTATGAAAGTCACCATTGGCATGTTCTGCTGTGTAGAGGATTACCAGTCACTACACATATCTTACAACCAAGACCAGTGAACCATTCACCAAATTCTGATCCAGGTTTAAATAATAAAAGTTTGCCTATTTAACCCATAAACTTACATTATGCAGCTGTTACATGGGGTTCTGGATTTGCTTTAATATATAAGTGCATACACTCTGCTCCTAAGCCCACTACTGCAGAGAAATAGCAGCTTTGACGTATTAACAGTAGTTATCATTAATGGTATTCTGAAGCTGGGGATTCTCAAGACATAACTCAAGACCTATTTAGTTAATTATAACTGTATAAACATATTTTTTACAGAAATCCTTGAAGATGAGGGGGATTTTGCCAATTCCACTCCGGCAGCTCTGGAAGCTACACAAATAAAGAAGGAGACGATTGACATAGGTAGGTCAAGACTGTGTCTTGATGGTTCTAACAGCACATTTTACCTTACTGGGAATTGCAGGTTTCTAAGGTCCATATGTTATTCCTGCATATTATACTTGTTCTGCTTCTAGATTACAATAAAATCTGGGTGTTGTTTGATTTCATAGTGCAAAAATGCATAAACTCTTATTTCTCCTTCCCCCCAATTAGTAAAACAATCTTATTTTCCCAGACAACATACTCCTTATTTTGCTAGATGTGATAAGACTGTATTTGGTTGTGACACAAATACTGTTCTTTTTCCTATACAGTTGTGCTAGAGAAGATAAACTAGAGAGCTAAATGGCTATCTCAGATATCTGAACATTTTACACCATATCCGTGTTTTTAAACTACTTCATGGGAGTGCATTTAATTTCAGACTATTTACTATCAAACAACTGCCATAAATATGCTGAATTATTTTACAAGTCAAACTGAAACCAGAGCCTCGGCAATATGTAGAAGTCATGCATTCAATTACAAGTATTCAGAAAAAGATTTATTAAAAATTTTAAAAATTAACATTAGAACACGTATTAATCTTGTGGAATAAATGAGCATACAAACCATGGAAGGTCATGAAAAAGAGGCATTAGAGGAAATAACGATGACATTGAAACATATTGACCTGATATCCTGGATCAAAATATACTTTACAGTATATGATTCTGTGAACAACAATTCTTTGGCCTTTTACACTGAAAGTTTCTACTATAGTATTGCTATTGTATGCATCAGTATTTCTGTGATCCAGACAAGAACTTCCTTCTTGGCAACTGTGTTACCTGAGGTTTGGGTGTTCAGCCACCCTATCCAACAAAGCTTTTATGACTGTTTAGATAGGCTGATCTTGATTATGAAAGACAACTGTGACAAGTATGACACACAGGACAACATCAGAGTAATGCCATCACAGCAATGACACACAGAAACACAAGTTACACTGAGGATAAAGTAAAGCTGTGTCCCTGAAAGTTCAGAGACATAGTGGGGTCACACTGATACAAAGAGCAGAGTTCATACACAGTGATGCAGAATAAAGCATCATGCAAATCAACTGACTGCCCTATACACACAAATTCCCCACTCCTGTCATGTAATATCCCATTGAGAATAGTAAACACGCAAGTCAGAAGTACACAAGTAGCACTGCCGAAGGCAGAAAGAGATTAGAGAGCAGCATGGTTGAGAGAATAAGCACATAAATGAAAGCCATGGGAGTTTTTATAAAAGTAAAATCAAGACATAAACCCTTGAAGAGCCCAGCAGCAGGAGACCTGCTGCTCCATTCTGCCCCAAGGTTCTGTTTCCAATAGCTGCAAGTGTTAAAGGAAGATGTGAGAATTTTCGTAAGAGTTGTGGGGTAGCCTATTTACGAAAACCACTTTTTCCCTAGTATCCAGAGAAAATCACACACAGATGCTTATGACAGTATTTCTGATTCTAAGTTTTCCATACAAAATGATAAGAACTAATCTTTCTCTCAACCCAAAAAGTAATTCCACACAAAAGTGAACTTTCAGCCTCAGAGAAGCCCAAGCATGAGGAAATGAGCCCAGTCAGCAGACCTGGGTTTTGATGTCCATAGATGATTTCAATTCTGAGGGCTCCTGCATTTTACTTCTGAAGGGAATAGGTTTTAGGCTGAGAAAGAATGCAAAGCTATTATAGCCTCACCTCTGCAGAGGGAGAAAACCTGACGTGTAGGCATGTAGAATAAGAATATAATGATTTTCTATCCTGCTAAAGGTGGAATTTTGAAGAGAATTCAGATGCTGGTGGAATGAAAAATAGTTCTTCTGCCTTCCCTGTTTTGTCATTTAATCCACATAGAATAGTTTCAGGTAGGGAAAGGTTAAAACCAGGCTCACTAGAAATAAGCCCCCAGCAGCCAATGTTCGAAGAATGGTGTGGTAGTGAGATCTTTTGGTCTGCTGTCTTAGTGAAGGTAGGGGATGGGGAGCAGAATGAAGCCCCACAATCCAAGGGGAAATGGTCAGTGACCTACTACACCAGTTGGATACACAGAAGTCTATGGGGCCATGTGGGATCCACCCAGTGATGACAAAGGAGCTGATGGAAGTGCTTACAGAGCCAATCATTTATGAGCAGCCCTGGCTAACTGGGGAGGTCCCAGGTGACGGAAGTTAGTAAATGTGATGCCCATCTAACAAGGGCCAGAAAGGGGATCTGGGGAACTACAGCTTGACCTCAGTGCCAGGGAAGGTTATGGAGCAGATCATCTTATGTGCCATCACACGACACATACAAGACAACCAGGTGATAAAGCCCAGTCAGTCAGCATGTGTTTATGAAAGGCAAGTACTGCTTGACGAACCTGATCTCTTATAACAAGGTGACCTGCTTAATGGAAAGGCATTTGTTGTCTACCTAGACTTTAGAAAAGCCTTTGACACCAATTCCCACAGCATTCTCCTGCAGAAACCAGCTGCTCATGGTTTGGATGGGTGTACTCTTCACTGAGTTAAAAACTGGTTGAATGGCTGGGCCCAAAGAGTTGTGGTGAATGGAGTTAAATCCAGCTGGCAGCTGGTCACAAGTGATGTTCACCAGGGAATTAGTTCTGTTTAATATACCACCTGACAGGAGGTTGTAGTCAGGTGGGGGTCAGCCTTTTCTCCCAAGTAACAAGCGACAGGACAAGAGGTAACAGCCTCAAGCTGTGCCAGGGGAGGTTTGGATTGGATATTAGGAAAAATTTCTTCCCAGAAAGGGTTGTCAACCATTGGAACAGGCTTCCCAGGGCAGTGGCTGAGTCACCATCCCTGGAGGTATTTAAGAGACATAGATGGGGCTCTCTGGAACATGGTTTAGTGGTGGGCTTGGCAGTGCTAGGTTAACAGTGGACTCCATGATATTAAAGGTGTTTTCCAACCTGAACAGCTCTATGGTTCTGTCATTCTGTAATTAACGGGTTATGACATTTTTAAGTGAAGACAGGTGTGACGTGGAAGATTACAATAATATGAACAACTTATTTGTCTAAGTCTATTTTATTTAAGAGTGTGTATTTCTACAGATGATGATTCTATAAGCACTACTTCAGAAGACAGATCTTGTACACCAGTAGCAAAACGGATGGTCGGGACAGGTGAGCATTAATTTCCATGCATTTATTCTGAAAGAGAATCGCATTGTAACTACAGTACCAACGCTGGAGCAACCACATCTCTTCTGTAAACAAAGCTGTACTTTTCTACTCTGACTCTAATTAGCTTTATCACTAAACTTACAAATTAGTTTTGTAGTTCTGTTCCCTGTCATGAGCAAAAGTTGCATTAATACTGTTATTTGACTTCGCATTCTATACTTATCTGATGAGCAGCACCTGTCTACTTCTGAATATGTATGAATCTGGAGATTTTTTTTTTCCTGTTGAATCCACAGTAGCATTTCCATTTGCATGACACTTTGCCTTGAAACTATAGAAACCCATTTTCTTATCAATGCTGATATCCTGGCACTTTAAAGCTTAAGGCCTATTGCTTTCCTGAATGTAGCACTTGGATACATCTGTCTTTAACCAACAATAGCAACAAAATTACACTGACAAATGTGGAATTTTAGATGCCTTGGACAAACAAGAGATTTTACTTGCTATGTATTTTGCATACTTAACAGAAGGGTAATCATGTATGTATATTAACATTGCAAAACTAAAAGTTTCCTAATAGGAGATTATTATTGATACGAATTAATCCTTCAGCTGCTTACCAAGCCATTAGCTACAGTTACACTTTGATGTACGTATATTCAGGAATACTAAGTTGTTGTTACATTTATACTTTCAGACAGCCATGTTCCCTTGGAAGAAGCACAAAATCACTTTAAAGTTATTACAGTTAACGATACTGGAGCAGGAAAACACTGGAGTGATAATGAAGTCAGAGCTCTGATAAACATATGGTCGGATGAAAAGATACAACAAATGCTTGAAGGGGCCACAAGAAATAAAGAAATATTTGAGGAAATTGCCCGAAGGTTAATGAAACGTGGCATAGACAGAGACTGGAAACAGTGCCGCACAAAGTACAAGAACCTAAAATATGAATACCGTGCACTGCAGAAGGAAAACGAGCACCTTGGTAATCCCAGGAGAAAAATGAGATTCTATGATGAAGTTGACTGTATCTTAAGAAGACAGCCGATGGGTCCCTCAGGCTGGGGATGTGAAAGTTCAAGTCTCCTATCAGGTACTAAAAACTTCAATGATGAGACAAAACATTTAAAACAAAACTTAAAGCCTGTTGACCCCTGCATTAGGGTGAAATATGTGGCCAGAATGGGGAAGGAAAATAACTGAAAAGCCTGTATCTGCATGGTCACATAGGCAAAACTCAGCAAAGGGAAATGGTCTTTGGAGTAGCTTAGAACACTAAGTGAAAACACCTGAAGTGTTCAATGTTACTGGATAATCTTTGTGCTTTTGGAAGCTTAAGTGAGATACAGTGAAATGGTGGTATAAAATGTGTGTAAAGTCTTATGGATAGAGAGCTACAAGCTCATACCATTTAGAATTGCAGAAATCTGTAACAATCAAGCCAAGTGAAGGGACTCAAAAGAAGTAAACTTCATGGATTAAATTCACACCACAGTCAAGAGAGAAGAATCCAGGGCAGTGATGCTTATTTGAGCATTGATAATTATTATATTAATTTTGTTAACACACAATCAGTTTTCTACACAGAATTTGCCTCTCATTTAGTAATAAAAGACCTCTGATCTAGGAACCTCACTGATAACCTTTTGTCTGCTGTAAGTGTTCTCTTAACTGCTCCAGCTCTCAGGGGCATTTGTCCCTGCTACAGGCAAATCAGATGCTCTTGTAGAAGCAACTTAACCACTGCATCTTAGAGCTCAGTGAGTTATGGTAAACCAAAACTAATTCTGATTTTTATCAAAATGCTAAGTAGAATAATAGTAGTAAAATTGCTATTTGCAGTGTCACAGATGTCATTTGAAGACTTGAACCATTTCTGCAGAAGAGGGCAGATAGACAGCTTAAGCAGAAACTGCTGGAGCCATCCTTAAACCAGCTGTCCTCTGTCCTGAATCAGAGCCCTAAAGCACTGTCCAAGAGCCCCATAGGGTCATGCCATTAGCTGCAGCTGGCATGACATCCACACAAACCATAGGATGATGCCACTACTTCTTACCTATCTCATTCTTGTGCTCAATCACGTTCTTAAGACAGGCATTTTCTTCCAAATACAGAAACTGAAGATTATCACTTCTTATTGCTGTCTGTGAATGGAATTTGTCAACACCAAGAATATTTGAGCCAACCTGGCTGTTTTACATTTAGCATGCTGGAAAAGGACTGTCTAATCTGTGCTGTAAATGCTGATGTAGGAGACAGTAAAACAATAACCTTTCAGAAAAGCAGCTTAAGCTGTTAAACTTTTTGAGGCATCTGCCAAATAAATGTGTCTCCACCCTGATTTTGTGTGCCAACCCAGTTCCTAACTTTTCTAGAAGATTCTGACTGCTCCAGGTCACTCATCCCAACGCATTTGCTTTTGTAGTGTAAGGTTTTTCGGTGTGTGATTGACTGTATTTAAGAATCTCTGCAAAATAGTCACCTTGGTTTTCTCTTCTAAGTTTCAGTGGGAGATGTAACAGTGAACACAGGATCCTTGAGTATCAAGAGAAAAACATGGACTGATGGTAAGAGTTCCCGGCGTTTTAAAGCATCTATACACTGCTGTTGAATTGGATGCCAGACTCTAATTCCCAGTACTAAAACAGTTTAAAAATAAAGAAATCCTAGAACTTAACACCAAATTGCAAGTTGAGGTTCTCTTGCCCTCAACAATCTGCAAAGGAAGAGTCCTGATAAAAAATGTGGGCCTAAGGAAAGCTGCAATTTATTTCAATCCTCATCCCTGGTATCAATGAAGTAAACATCATTTGTAAGAATCAAGTGCAAGGAAAAAAATAAATTTTTTTTAAAAGAAAATGTCTTAATTACTTGTGTTGCTCAGAGGAAAACAGGGACAATATATCACAGTCGTGGCTTCCTCATATACCATGCATCAGTAAAAATACATGTATAAAGTCTAACATGCAATGTCTAGCATGTTGTACAAGAGAAAACACGTTAATGCAGCTATTCCAAAGAGAAGATATGGTATAGAATCATTGACAGAGAAAAATGAAGGGATGGGTAGAAATACATGGCGTGCAATCTGACATGGGAAAGGTCAGGAGCTTGTTTGTTTTTTTTTTTCCTGGCAGAACTGTCAGGCCTTTAATAGTGAAAAAGTCCAACACTTAGGGATGACAGTCTTACTTTTGGGAGGCTTGCCCCTAGTTCTAATACTAAACTGTTGTCTTGTCTACAGACAGCTGAACGCAAACAGATCCAAACACCACAACATTTCTGAATTCAACCTGCTCAGTTCACCATCCCAAACTACTAACAGGACTAATTTCTATGTGGTTAAATATACTTTCAGTTATTGCCTATTAGGCAAATACATCTGGCAGAAGTCAGTATCTAGGCAAAGCTGAAGGTTTCAAATGAGTGATTTTTACAAGGTTTGCTTCATTCCTCCTTGACGTTATACAGTGACCCCTTACACAACACCTGGCAAGGCCTCCCAAAAATGCTAACAGAAGGACAGCATTAGTAGAATCTAGCTAAATGTCAGTGTCAGCAGTTCATTGACTTGCGCACTCTAACTACATGCTCTGCTTTTGTCCACAGAGGTGTCACCTGTTCCACTTAAGAAAAGTGCTTCTGAAAACGCCATACTCCACTTCCAAAAGCTATTAACAGAGAGAGTGCACACAGTAACAGAAGGCAAAAAGTTACTGTTAGAAAGGCTTTGTAAGCAGGAGGAAATGCAAGACCTCAACAGAACACAGCGGTATGCTGATCCATCAGCCATACAACAGGTTGGTTTAATGAACTTTTTAACTAAATTAGCATGCAAAGAGATTCTCTCAGATAGTAGAAAATTAGACAGACATATTTATCAGTGTAGATCACCCACGAGTGTATGCTTTCTCCCCTTTAATATATTCACCTTCTGTCATATAAACTAAAACAACATATGAGTTCCCATCATAATCCTTAACTATGATCTTTTAGCAGTGACGTCAGTCTAATAAAAGATATAACCTCTACCTACATGCTTTGGCTCACCTACTGGCATAATTAACAGGCTTAATGGAAAGAAACTAACACTGACTGATAAAGAAAACATGTACAGTTCAAACTGCATCCCATCATTTCCAATTACCATCTCTATGACCTTCCTAGCAAGTAAGTCCTCTGCAAGTAACCAAACAGTCAAAGTCATGAGAACTTCTTTTTGGTTAGGCAAGGCTGGTGGGGAAAATGCAACACTTAATTCCTTTATCAGCATTTACACTCCTAGCTGCTCCTTCTGCGTATGCTGGCGTGGGGGACCATCCCCAGCTGCCCACTGAAGGCATGGTGCTGTGCAGCACTGAACTGGAGAATTCAGTAAGTCAGAAAGTATAGTGTTGATGGCCACCTAGAAGGTGCAGGCATGAGTTCTGGTCCCTGTTCTGTGTTGGGCAAGGGGTCTGCCTGGCCCAGTAACCAATGAAGTATTAGAAAACATAGAAGCAATGCAGGGAACAATGACACAGTAAGTGACAAATGCCATGCCATAACTGTTACTCTGCAAAATCCTACTAGCAGCTACTTTGTGATTGTCTAAGTATTCTATAGCCTGTACTGCCTGCAAGGCATGCATTTCAAGGGGTTTCTTTTAGTGTGTTCAAGCAGAAGAACTCATTTCTGGATCTCTGTCATGTCTGGGCATATATCTACACAGCCCTGCCAAAGTTAGGTCAGTTCTGGGCACGCACAAGGGCACAACTGAAGTCAAATTGTCAAGTTCTTACTGCAGCAGCAACAGCCGACAGATCTCTTTATACACAGAGGCCTAAATTCCATCCAAGTCGCTCTTCACAAAATGTTACACAAAAATATTACTGACACAGTGCCTTGTTTCCTGCTGGAAGGGTAATTATTTTCTTGTCAATTTTTTCTAAGCAATATTATGAAGGTAAATAATTTCCACCAAGGTAGATTTTACCTGCCACTTAACTAGCATTCATAAAACAATGCAGAGAAGTCAGAGAAAGATCCCTAGAAAATTATAGGGTTTAAATCATGTTCATTTTTACAGTGACATGCACATGCAGTTTCAGTGTATGCTTATCTACCGTTTTTCACAGTTCACACTGGTTACTCAGTTTAAGCCTTTGACTTGTAATACTATTCTCTCTTTGCAATGGTTTGGTTCAAAGATGCATCCCTGAATTTGCATCGTATTACTTGCATACAGAACTAATGTCTTTGGTAGAAGGACAAGGGATCTGTCCCTGCCATCATGGCTGGCAGTCAGGTATTCTTCTAAACATGCAGAGCCCCCTGAATGCATAATACCATTCCTACCAGTAGTAAAACCCCAGGATACTCCTTTCGCACATTAAAGTGAGTGATCCTACTCTAATTCATTGTAGTACATTCAAACAGTTTAGTTCAATTTAGATTTAAGTTTTTAAAATAACTGTACTGAAAATAATATGGATCACTTACATGTTCTGCTTTACCTGTTCAGTTCCACGAGTGCAAGACTGAAATTGATTTGATAACTCATTGCAACAAGAAGATCCCCTTTCCTCCATGCTACTGTGAGCAATTCAAAGCCTGCTGGATCCTCTATAAACCAATTCAGCTCACTAACCTGACACAAGACTAGTCCAGCTGGGGAAAAAAAAAAAAAAGCAAATGGTTTTCTGTGTAAGTTGTAGCAGCCCCACATGTTCTTGGCTGTGCTAGGCCCACCTTTGAGCATCTCAAAGGTTGCTTTTGTTGCAGCGTGGCTGCCCTCACAGAAGAAAAGCTAACCTGAAGGAGGCAGTTAGTACTGCAAAGACAACCTGCCCTTAACATTCTGAGTGATGCACAAGGATCCAAATCTTTCCAAAACTTTTCTGTCATTCAGTACAAACACCCCCCAAAAACCTTTCTCTTCTTCCAGAAAATAAAAAATACTTATTTTATTCATTAGAATAAGCAGATCCTTCAAGAAATATGTATCTGGTTTTAAATGCTGTTGTTCAGATGGAAACTGCACAAAAGCACTGAGTCAAAAGGACTGTATAAATTCTTAGTAAGTCAGAGCAGAGAATCGCAGAGCACATCTGCACTCTCTACTTGGAAACTGTTCATAAGAACATAGACGTGAAGCAAGTACTGACAGAAAATAAAGAACACAAGTGTATTTCCAAGGGAAGTATTTTTTCTCAGGAACCTTTACAGAGAGTGGAAGTTACTTGACAAATACCCAAAAAAGGTGGACTTCCCTTTGTGTGAGATTCCACTGCAACTCTTCTTTCCTTCTGTTCACATTTATTTTTGGACAAAGATGGTAAGAGATGTCAAGTGCATGGGCATTTGGTACCATCCAATATTTATGCACTACTCCCATTTATACAGACAACAATCATCTACTTGAATATGTAGGACACTGAGATGGATAAAGTGGCATCAAGACAACCTTTCTTCACTGCAGTTGTAGTTACCATTCCATGTTACTTTTTGCTATAAAAATAACATGGATATTGCGCATTTAGAATACCGACTGTCTACAGGTATGGTCTGTCTGCTTTTGACAACATCTATGGGATTGCTAGTGAAGGATTTATCAAAAAATGTCCCTTCAAAACCAGCAGTAGTTAATCCAAGTCTTATTTCCAGGGTATTTCTTATATCCACTTCAGCTTGTGCTGTGGCTCTGCTCTGATAAAGCTTTACATCCATTACAGTCACAGGATAGTTTAGGCACACTTAGGGGAAAGTTAAATGGAACTTGGGGCACCATCTGAGCCATGCTAAACGGTTATATTGAGAGCATTACATAGGATGAAAGAACTAGGGAGGACAGGCCTTCTTAGACACAGATCCACAAATGTGATTCCTTTTTAGCAGAAAGGCCAGACCGAGTTGTTTCTATGTATCTGCTCCTGGAAATGTTAATATGAATTACATCATGAAAATGGTGCAACTTAAAAATCAAAACCAACACCAAGCAGTGATGTCAAGATAAACAATCCTTTAAAAAACAGATCTTTGCTCTTCTCTCTCCTCAAATATCTGCACTATTACCAGGGAGGGGTTCAGATAACTGAGGGCAAGTCTGTCTCCTCTCCCATTTGCAAATGACAATGCTGATTTTTTTGAGGTATGCAGATAAATAAAGCAATCACCACACTTAACCTATACTAAAAAGTTCCATTCTTCTCTAAAGCACACATTCACTGAGATGAATGGGCCACTTTACATGTCTTTCATAGGGCTGTTACCCTGGAAAGTCCTCTGAATGCCCCATTTAGATTATTTCCTGGTAGACCAAACTATACTTGGGCCAAATGCATGGAGAATTAGCTCCAGGGAGGAGAAATGCCTGCATTGCTGGTGGATCCACAAGCACTGTCAGCATCATTGTCAGCTTAAAAGACTCTCCCTGCAGACTCACTCATTTGTTCCTCCTCCAGCAGTAAGGCCTCCTTTGTGCTGGCACAAGAGCTTACATAGGCAAGTGGCTAATCAACTGACAGAACTGATTTAAATTAAAACTAGCCTAATGAAAAGCCCCTCTAAACAATCCTTACCTTTTTTTTTTTGTTTAAGTTTAAGTGTAAGACATACCACAGAGCAGCTAGGGCAGCTTTATTTGAACTGAACTACCCAGCATGGACTTCCCATGCTGTGTACAACCCTCCCTCCAGGCAACAGGCTCACATTCAAGGTATGGGCTGACAAGCCAACACAGCTTGTGAAAACTACTGGAAGCTGTATCATGCCATCTTGGATAACAACTATAGTCAATGTAAAGAGGAACAAACAGTCTCACCCCAATTTTGTGGCTAGGTTAATGTAATGGGATGTCTGCTGGCCACAATAAACATAATGGCTGTCTCCGAAATGTCCTCTTGCACAAACATTTTGGCACCACTTCCCTCCTGGCTTTTCCAGTCCTTATGTTATCGCATTCCTGTTGGTTTCTCTACATCCAGAGATAAGAGCTGATACCAAACCGCATTTTGTGACATGTACATCTAAGAGACCTGAGCTTGGGTAAAACAGAAATCTGGCTTTCTGAAAACACACATGCAGGAACCTGAGCCCTGCAGGAAGCTATGTAAAACAACTGAGCCAATATAACAGCTCACCAGAACAAAAAGGTCCCCCTCCTCCTGCAGGAGTGAGCCTTGTGGCATGTAACTGAACTGGGTTGTCAGCATCTAGCAGCACAGAATGGCCTGTAAATGTAAACCAAGATAGTGTGTTCAGTGTCTCTGAAAGTGGGGAGCATTTTAACAGTACATACAGCACGAATGTTCCAGTAAAACAGCAGACAGTCACTCGCTATACATACATCTTAGCCAGTATATTCCACAGAGAATTTCCATAGAAATATGGTTACTTACAACATTTGGCATTTAGATAATATTTAACATTGCACTTCTTGCATCTACGGACTGGGGATCTGCTAAACTCAGGTTCTTGAGATGAAAAGAATGAAGAGGTAAATGTGTCACACACCAAATTATCAGGAATATTACCTGTAGCATATCCATGTCCCTCAGAAAATTCCCATCCAACTACTATTCCAGTTTCAAACTTGTGTGCAAGATTCATGTTGTAAGACAGGATTACCAGTAGCTTGCTCAATGGCCTTTTTAAATATCAATTTTGTACCCAAGCGGTTGCATATAAAATGTAGATAAACACTTTCACTATGCTACACTGAGGGTAGCTATCTGGAAGGATGGCTAATGGGAAGCAACCAGTAATTCTACTAGATTGAAAGAAAAGTAAAAATTCTTAACTTACATTGGTGATTATTTGGGTTTTATTGTGTGAGGTTTAATAGTGGACAGCTATAGGGAAGCCATCAAAAAAGCATGCTGGCCAACCTCCCCCCAAGTTTACATTGATTCTCATAATAAACTTCATACATTCACCCAGCTGAGGTGGAACAAGGAGTATTCCCTCACTTAACAGGACTTCCGCCTGCACAGAACAGACCTTATAAAGGCCTTTTTAAAGAACCAGTACAAAGCTGGATACACTCGGGTTTCAGTACATAGTATTACTGCCAAACATTTTCCAGGGAATTTTGAAAAAGTTAACAGAAATCACATTTGTTCCAAGATTAACTTCACAAATTTGTCCTGGTCAAGGACTCAGATGACGTTTAATAGATTTGTAACTCAAAGAACTCCTCCTCCTTCACCACCCCCAAGAAAGTTGTTTCCTTACCAATATCCAGACTTTATTTTGGCATGCTGTTAGTGGATTTACAGTGGCTTTCTTCCCTAGCTTATAAATTGTAAAGATGTTTTAGAACATCCACTTTTAAGCCTTGTTAATGTTGACACCAGAGTAGCAGCATTAGCTTTAATGCTAGCTATAGGTTTCAGTCATAATAAGAACTCACTGCTAACATAGCTGTAAAATGTTAAAATCAAATGAGAATCAGTTTGAAATTGTCTCAAGTTAAACTGGTACAATGTTGTTAGTGTGTGGAAGGCCTTAATTAGCCTGTGAGTAGGAATATATCGGTTTTCATTTTAATTCATAGCTCACCATTATAGAGTTAAAGCCAATGAAAAGCCACATTTTAACTTCTGCTACAAAAGATTATGAATTTAAGCCTCAACAATCTAGCAGCTGCTTAAAAACCAACCAAAACTACACCCGTACACACATTTTAAAGTTGTTGTTTATGTCAGGATAGTGAAATTCCAAGTCTGTCTCTTATTTTTCACAATGTACCTACTTCCGGGCCCACTCCAGAACCTTGCTTACAAATACACCCTGATTTTTCATGCAGAATAGATTTGGTGAAACAATGAGCACTGCTCAAACACATGCCACTGAATATGCCTCTTCAGTATTTTGGTGGCTTGACCCAGCACAGAGAGTTTCAAGTTTTCAGTTACAAGCATCCCCACTGGAGTACATCTCTCCAGTGCCATATTATCTTTTTAACACTGTAATACAAAGCATCAACTCATTTTAGGCCATTTATCAGAAACAGCAAAGTCCTTCACGCTGCTGCTACCAGCTATATCAGAACATAAAGCACAAAGAATTTACACTGCATGTTTTTGTGGCATGTAACAAATACCCTGGATCTTTACTTATGCAGACAAGATTTCAAAGATTAGAAACTGGTAACGTTCCCCACAGCTGCCTCTTTTTTGTAAACCAGTCATCTAAAAAATGCAGGTTGACACAATGCCATGCTTGAGCATCCTAATTTTTTAAATCTAAGATGAATTAAGGGCCAAATTCTCTTAAGTCGATTTTATTGCACAGGACTAATTTGCATATAAAAGAACATGCTGTGAATATCTAAGGCCAGTAATCATTACCTAAATGTTCTTACTAATTCCAAAGTGAGGTCTGAGGACTGTGTTTGTCATGGCCAATCAAACTTCTGTTAGTGACTTAAGCCTAATTGGAACTGACTGTTACATTTATCATTCCTCTCTTACTTATTTACTTATTTTTCAAAGAATAAGGTTAAGAGACACTTCTTGGGTTTTAAGTTTAAAAAAATGGGCTTAATGCAATTTACAGGTACAGTTAATGCTAAAACCTATTACTGCCTGAGAGGGATGCCACCCCTTCTACACCTCATAGCAGGGAAAATGCAAAAAAGGTTTGAGATAAAACATCAAAGAAGGAAATGGGAACATTAACATCTCAGCTATTTAATAGAGTTCTATCGAGGGCTTGTAAAGGTATACCTGATTGAATAGACTGTGTCACTCCACAGATGCAATCATAGAATCATAGAATCGTTAGGGTTGGAAAGGACCTTAAGATCATCTAATGCTAAACCCCCTGCCATGGGCAGGGACACCTTACTCTAAATCATATCACCCAAGGCCTCGTCCAACCTGGCCTTGAACACTGCCAGGGATGGAGCATTCACAACCTCCCTGGGCAACCTATTCCAGTGCCTCACCACCCTAACAGGAAAGAATTTCCTCCTTATATCCAACCTAAACTTCCCCTGTTTAAGTTTTAACCTGTTACCCCTTGTCCTTTCACTACAGTCCCTAATGAAGAGTCTCTCTCCAGCATCCCTATAGGCCCCCTTCAGATACTGGAAGGCTGCTATGAGGTCTCCATGCAGCCTTCTTTTCTCCAGGCTGAACAGCCCCAACTTCCTCAGCCTGTCTTCACACGGGAGGTGCTCCAGTCCCCTGATCATCCTCGTGGCCCTTCTCTGGACTTGTTCCAACAGTTCCATGTCCTTTTATGTTGAGGACACCAGAACTGCACACAATACTCCAGGTGAGGTCTCATGAGAGCAGAGTAGAGGGGCAGGATCACCTCCTTTGACCTGCTGGTCACGCTCTTTTTGATGCAGCCCAGGATACAGTTGGCTTTCTGAGCTGCAAGCGCACACTGAAGCCAGCTCATGTTCATTTTCTCATCGACCAACACCCCCAAGTCCTTCTCGGCAGGGCTGCTCTGAATCTCTTCTCTGCCCAACCTGTAGCTGTGCCTGGGATTGCTCCAACCCAGATGTAGGACCTTGCACTTGTCATGGTTAAACTTCATGAGGTTGGCATCAGCCCACCTTACAAGTGTGTCAAGGTCCCTCTGGATGGCATTCCTTCCCTCCAGGGTATCAACCGAACCACGCAGCTTGGTGTCATCAAGTTTATGCCTCTAAGAAAGCAGCCCTTATAAGTTTTGTCAGTTACTGAGTTCTAAGATCAGAATCAGAGGTAGCGTGTGCATGCCTTTAGGTGTGCATCTTGCCATAGAACTGGTGAACTGCTTACAGTTTCAACTGCAACAGTGGCATTACTGTCTACAGTTGTGTCCTCCATAGGGGATATTTGATATTAAACAGCTCATGGAAATCAAATATACTTGTCAAGTGTCCATCAATAAACAATAATCAGGTTGCAATGAAAATTGAGATAAGAAGATGCAGAGTAATGAAAATACATCAATCATTTTATTTTCTTAGCCCACCAATGTCTGCGTAAGCACAAATGAGGTAAGATTTTTTTTCCAGAAAAATGGTGCAGCCTAAAATGAGACTTTTAATTAGTCTCATTAGGCTTTTTTTCCTTGGATTCTGCAGCTCTATCTCTCCCAATAAAAACATTTTTGATGGACACTGGCAAATATATATCGTTTATGAATGATACACCTGCAACCCGAAGTCTTAGTATATGAGTCATGTAGGGATGCAGGATTTTACCAGTGAAAGTATATGAAAGTCCGTTGTAATAAACAGAAAATCTCAATGTAAACTATTTTCTGTTGTTGGACCAAAGCCATTTCAAAGCATGTCTGTGACATCAGAAATACAAAGAACCTATCATTTTATCTATTCATTGCATGGGTACCCAGGAGAAGCTCGGACCTCCCCAGGCTGTCGGCAACGTGATTACAAGTGGGGAGTTAAGCACAGGGTACAGGTGTTCGCACTGCATGTTCTACATAGCTTGTGTGTGCGGGCTTGGCCGTGCATGTGTTCCCAACAAGGAGCAAAATCCCCTTCTGGCACCCCTGGGAAAACGATCAGCATATGTCAGTGCATACCATTATTACTTTGAATACCAAAGTGAAGCAGAACCCAAACTTCATTTTGCAGCTCTGCGTTCCCAGTTATCCTAGTCTGTTTCACATCGCCATAGACATGGCAGGTAGAAGAAAGTTTCGTTGTATCATGGTGCTAAAGATTCACAACTATGGCTAGTAGGAGCCTTAAGAACCACTGCGCCAAGGCAGTCCCGACGTGTGTGAACTACGTTTCACACGAGCATTCCGAGTGACGCCAGGAATGCCGGCCGGCGGGAGGTCAGCGCCTGCCTGTCACCGCTGCGGCGGGGCTGGGACTGGGCGATGGGCGCATCCCCGCCGCCACGCCGGGGGCTGCGCGCACGGAGGTTCCCGGGCAGTTCGGGACGCGCGCACGTGCGGGCGGCGGCAGGAGCGGATGCCGCTTAAAATGAGATGCGGCTGAGGTGCAAGGCACGTCCGAGAACTGCTCCGTCGGCGGTGCCGGCCCGGGACTCGGCGGGGCATGCCTTGCTCTCCGCCAAAGGGATGCTGCCGGGTCTCCCGGCCGGAGCGGAGCAGGAGGAAGGAACGGGACGCTCTGGAGCGGACAGGCCCCCGCCCGCGCCGCTCGCCTCCCACCCCGCTCCTGCCGCCGCCGGTTGCACATGCCGAAGCGAAACCCCGACCACCGCGGGGCAGCCGCAGCGGCCCGGCCCGCTGCGGAGCCGGTGTTTTGGGACGGTGACCCTCTCCATCCCGGTCCCGTGCCCCCTCACTGCCTTACCTGTGCTGCAGCCCCACCAGCCCCAGCGTGATCACATGGGGCACGTCCAGCTCGGTGGGCCACACGCCGGAGGCGATGCAGCCGAACACGCCGCACTCCTCCCGGATGCCCAGCTCCTCCAGCTCCATGGCGCGGCCGGCACGTGGCGGCGCGGCCCCGCTCGACGGCCCCGGTCCCTCTCCCGCTGCGGCGGCTCCCGCGCGCTCCTGCCTGCGCTGCGCGCAGCCAACAGCGCCGCGCCGCGCGGGGCCGGCAGTAGCCTGGCGAGGCGGGCTCCCTCATTTACATACGGGGGGACCCTCCCCGGCCCTGGCCCCGCGCCCACCGCACGCCGCAAGGCGGGGGCTCGCCCTCGGGGCGGCATTGGCCGGGAAGCGGGGCCGGGGCCGGGGCCGTGTTTGCACTGGGAGGAGGGCGCCCGGCCGGGGCTCGCCCGCGGAACGCGGCGGGGCGGAGAGGGGCGCGTTGGGCGGTGATTGGCGGGAGGCGCCGCTGCCCCTCCTGCCCGCCCCTTCCGCCGGCCCCTTCTTACCCCGGCGGTGGGGTCCGGCGCCGTGTGTTGAGTGTGTGTTCTGTGCCCTAGGTGTCTGCTGCCGCTCCCGCCGCCGTAGCCATGGCCCCCGCAGCATCAGGTAATTGCGTGTGCCCCGGCAGGGCATGCCGCGAGAGCGGGGAGCCGGGAGCGATCGGGGGACGGGTCGGCGGGTGCCCGCTCAGCCGAGCTCGGGTGTAGCTCCTTGGGAGCGAGCTTTTTTCCTCCGCAGAGCTTTGCTTTGGGTTGTTTTCTTCTCGTGGGTGACCGCGACCCTGCCCGAGGGGGCACCGGGTGCCCCCTGTCCCGCGGGAGGAGCGGGCGAGCGCTTCGAGACGAACGTTTCTATCCTCGGGCGGAGGGTGCTTCGGGCCGCTGCGGTTCTGCTTCCCGAGCCTCGTGTTTGTCCGGAAGCTAAACCACATCAAAGTACCGGGTAAAAGCGGCGCAGCTTCCCGCGGCACCGCCTCACCTCAGGCGGCACCTCCCGACCGCCGGCGGCGAGTGAAAACCCGTGCCAGTGCGGAGGAGAGCGCAGCCGGAGGAGGAGAGCTCGCTGCTCCAAGTGGGAAGCTGCCCCGACGTTCCCTGCGCATCTCTCGTGGCGCCGGAGTCCTGCGAGCAGAAGCGTTGGGCGGTTGTTTCGCCCTTGCTGTCCGGGGGCGCGGGGAGGCCTCATCACATTGCCAGTAGATGCGGGCTTGGCGGTGGCTCACGGGCTGCAGCACGGGGTCCTGCTGGGTCTCGCTTTGCAAAGTATGCGAACTTGGTGGGCTTACTTGCAGAAGTAAAGCATTTATTTCAATCTAAAACTGTTCATTCATCCATTACTTACTTGTTCAGACCTGAAACTTGGTAAAAAAGTTAATGAAGGTAAAACAAAAGAAGTGTTCGAGCTGCCAGATATGCCGGGATGCGTTCTCATGCAGTCAAAAGACCAAATAACAGCGGGGAATGCGGCCAGGAAGGACCGAATGGAGGGGAAGGCTGCCATTTCTAATACAACAACTAGCTGTGTGTTTCAGTTGCTGCAAGAATCTGGTAAGTATTTCAAAGGTATAAAACATGCCTGTGTATTACAGATCTTGTTAGGAAACGGTGGTGTTTCTGTGTTTCCTGCCCTGAAGCTCTGATGTTGTGGGCGGGGAGAAGGGGGTTAGTGTCTCTTCTATTCGTTTTTAGTTACGCTTTTCCTTCTGGACTGCAGAGCTGGATGGGTGACTTGTTCATTTGTAGCATGAGAGTATCCGAAGTAATTTTCCAGTAACAGATAACACTGCAACAACTCCTTCTTCTTTGGACACACCCTTCATGCTCCCCTCTATTTCTGTCAGTTATTCCCTTCCCCCGTGTTCCCTTGTCTGGATGCATCTTGCCGTTCTTCCTACATCTGCCTACAAGTCACTGCTAGCGAGTGGCACTAGCAGACTAAGCTGTGTGAAACTTGTGTATGAATGTTAAAATTAGAGTATCTTTTTACAACATTTTTCTTTCCCCTCAGTTGGTTATGCTGTATCAACATAAAGGTTCCGCACACTTTGTACTTAAACACTTGTGCATTTGCAATGTGGTCCGCATTTATTGCTCTGTATTGAATGTTACGGAGAATGTAATGTTTCTGTTAAGAGGCTCAAAATGTTTCTGGTGCTAGAAGTGAGCTTCCGTGGAGTATGTAACTAACTTGAGTCACTCAGGTTTTGCGCCACACTTCCAAAAATGGAGCCAGTGTCTTTGCTTTGAGAAAGCATCTTGAAGTGTCTTTGACTGAGAAGTTTGCAAGTTGCAAAGAGGAATTTGCACTACCTTGAGCTGCAAACAGTACTGCAATACAGGCGCCAGTAAACTTGGTTAAGATGCTTATAGCTGCGTGCTCAGTGCACTCTAAAGCATTTGCACAAGCATTGTTTAAGTACCAGATGAGTTACTTTAAAACTTGTATTATCTGTTGTACGGCGTAGTAATGGTTCTCAGAGAGACAAACAGTGAAGTCCTAGCATGTGTAATATGTGGCAAAGAGAGAGATGATTTTTGAGGTTGTATCTACCTATATTTCTGTGCAATTAGTTCTTAAAATATGGGCTGAGACAAAGATACATCAAATCTTTCAGTATAATTCTCAGTCACTGGCTTTCTTGGGAAGCCTGTTGCGCATACAGCATAGAGAAGCCTCCAAGCTATTTCTGATTATATTTGCAGTTGACTATAACTACCAGTTTTCATATAGGAACAGTTAATGAAATGTTTTGCCTAAGTATTACAGAACAATAGATAAGGTAACAATTCAAAATACCTAATATCCTACAGACAGGAATTTCAGTGTCAAGAAGCCATACTTGTAGACCTCTTAAAAGATCCCTAAATGGCTTATGCTTGGTAATTTCATGTGCTGTGGAAAAACATGCAGAGTAAACAACCGCTGCATTTTGAGGCAACAAAAGAAGTTTCTGGGTGGTTCTCCAGTTTGCTTATTTGACTGGCATAAAAGGCAGATAATGTGAATGCCTTATCATGGAAGTAGTTTGTTTGCTTTTCGCAACTCTTCTTAACCTACTCTTTCAAAGATGATGATTTACAAAGTTCTGTTAAAGTTTCTCTCCTTTTATAATAGAGCTAATGTCAGGCCTTCAAAAGCAGGCATTTGCACTGATGAAAAATGTAGTAGTAAACCATGCAGGGGTCTTAATGCCTGGATTTATCAGTGTCTTAATGTGCAGCTGATAATTCATTCTGCAGTGCAACAAAATCTGAGGTAATGGTAATACTGTATTTCAAGACTTTCAATTCTTCTTTCACGGCTCTGAAAGTGGTATGGAGTAGAGCTTCTTGGTTTGACTGGATACAGCTCGTTTGTCTTCTGTTTCTGGCAGATGCCAAGTAGGCTTAGCAGTGATCTTGCCATGGTTGGTTACCTGGTTGCTGTTAACTTTTGTTTAAAAGCAAACCATTGTGAAGAATAGGTGTGTTGTGGGTTTTGTTTTGGTGTTTATTTTTTTAAGCTCTGTGATAAAAATTATTTGCAAGAATAGGATTTCTGACCAGAGCACAAGGTTCTGAGCAACAAGCAAACATTGTAGGATTAAACTGGCAAAACTAATGACTTGCAGAAGGTAATTGCATTGATTTCTTTTTGCAAGGCCAGAGTGGGCTTAAGACACCCTGAAGAGATACAGTATGTCGTGTAAGTCCAGAGATGAACAAGATTGAGTGGTACTTAGAATAAAGATGTTTGTGGTTCTTGTTTCAACTGTGGACTGTGCCTAGTAATGGAACTAAACTGGCATGTCTCTACTTAGGAATCAAAACAGCTTTTGTCAGGAAACAGAGTGACACAGCATTTATAGCAGCTCACTGTGAAATGATCCCAATTGAATGGGTGTGCAGAAGAATTGCTACTGGCTCCTTTCTCAAAAGAAACCCTGGTGTTAAAGAAGGGTATAAGTTCTATCCACCCAAAATTGAGATGTTTTACAAGGTAAGTTTCCTTTACTGTGATGTTAATGAAACTTAAACAGAGCTAGAACTCTGCATTATCTCCTTTCAAATGCAAACAAATAAAGCAAGCCATGCTAGTGGCTCACCAATCCTCTTAGTATTGGTGATTTTGCCATCCTAATGTTTTCTTGCATCCTTATCCAACAGCTGTTTTCTCTCAAATTGCATAGTATAATACTGGCTTACAGACCCATCAAAGAGTAACAAACCAAACTGCATAAAATAGAAAAAAATGCCTTATTTATAAGGTATAAGGGCTTTTGGGGCATAAACTTAACACATCTGTTACAACTGATGTGTTGATATATTTGAAGAAATTAAACAGTACTTGCATGGTGAGTGGCTAGCTGCTCATGTAGGATGCTGAACTACTTTGGAAGTATGTGCTGAAGGAAGTGTCTTGTGAACTGTGACCTGAAGTGTTATTTGTAGTGTACCCTGTCACTCCTGGGGCACTGTCCAAACTCAGAGCTTTTAAAGAAGTTCAGGGGTTACAGCAAAGTGTCTTCAATGTTGCTGTCCCTTTTTTTTTTTTTAGTGCTACTCATAAAAAAAGACTTAAAGTCTGTATTTTTTTTGTTGTTGAAAAACAAAACATAGCATTGTCTTCTCATAGTAATTTTCCTACTTATTGCAAGCTTAAATTACATGATGTATATGTTTGCTTTCTTAACAGGATGATGCTGCTAATGACCCACAGTGGTCTGAAGAGCAGATAATTGAAGCAAAATTCTGTTTTGCTGGACTTACTATTGGCCAGACTGAAGTGGATATCATGGCTCGTTCTACTCAAGCTATTTTTGAGATCTTGGAAAAATCATGGCAGCCTCAAAACTGCACTCTGGTAGACCTGAAGGTACAAGAATCTGATTTCTCACAGTCCTGGTTCTGACAGGAAATATATCACTGTATGGTTCCTAAAGTAGGATTCTTCCTGTCTTTTTAGATTGAATTTGGTGTTAATGTTCTGACAAAAGAAATCGTTCTTGCTGATGTTATTGATAATGATTCATGGAGGCTGTGGCCATCAGGAGACAGAAGCCAGCAGAAGGACAAACAGGTAGTGTGTTTATCTTCTAAGTTGGTTGGGAAGGAGAATGAAAAAAGCAAATCCTACAGTTAAACACTTGCTTTCAGAGTGGCTTTTTCTAGATAAGATTATCGTAGGGTACCTCCTGCCAATACTGTTTTCATTAAATAGTTTATTACGTGGCTTATGGTAGGAAAAAATCCTCTGCCTATATATCTTCGGTGGGAATGCTCAACAGCAGTACTGATTGGAGCTGTTGTTTCCAGGAGTAATCAGAATTTCTCACCAGTTTTGCAGATGATAAAATAGTTGGACAACAGATTGGTAAAAGGAATAGAAGCTTTAGTTCCCAGCTCTGGCTCCAAGTTCCTGTTTATCCAGAGTGGTGTCCTATACTAGTAGAGATCTGGCAATATGTAAGAGGGATCTGCAGGAGGGTTTTCTTCATGATTTATTTTGGTTAAGCTTGAATTCAATATTCAGTGTCTCCAAGTGTTACTAACAGATTGTGTCCACATAAGAAGGCTGCAAACATAAGTTTGAAATAAAGCGTGTCCTGTATTTAGACTTGTTGCCATTACACTTGTCAACTCTTTCTGAATTACCAGATAAGTAGTTGTGAAAGAACTGGTTTGTGAATGCTCCTGCTTCTGCAGCAATTGTTGAGATTAGTAATGGAGACTCTGTAGAGAAAGTGGCTGTAAGCCACTGGAGAAGACTTTAAATGATGTGTTGTGTGGGAGGAGGGGTATTACTTTTAAATTAGGAAGTAGAACTGCTTTATTGTTTATTTTACCTGAATTATGTAGTTGCATGCTTGAATGAATTGCTCTGACAATACCTTCACTCATCTCCCTAAAACAAGGTGCCCGATAACATCATGCAGAACCTGGGCTGCCTAATGCAGTGCTATTGCGGGCAAGCATGTCAGTACATATCTAGTTTTAAAAGGGCTATATGTCTCCCTAAACTTAGCTTTCAGGATGCTTCCAAAACCTTAATACCGTTGTGGCTAAAAACCTTTCAGGTTTCAAATGGCCATGGATTGTTATGTGGAAGGGAGTTTACGCCTACTGGAATGGTTCTTCATTAAATAGCTGTTCCTTACTTCCATATCTGTTTTTTCCTGTATCTGTACCACTCTCTGTTCTCATTCCTGTGGAACTGCTAGGCACTACAATAAATACGTCAGTTGGGGTATTCTTATCAACTGTGGTAGTAAAATGAGTGTTTTGTGTATTGAAAACACATTAACCTGAAGGGTTTGGGTTGGTTTTTTTTTTTTTTTTTTTTTTTTTTTTTTTCTTTTCAGTCCTACCGTGACCTGAAAGAAGTGACTCCTGAAGCACTGCAAATGGTTAAGAGAAACTTTGAATGGGTTGCAGAAAGAGTGGAGGTACCCATTTTTATGAACAATATATCTAGACTTTGGTAACTTCATGTCTTCAAGCATGTTGACTGCTTTTCTTTTTCTTGTCCTGCTTCACTCTTTTCCCTAGTTGCTTCTGAAAACAAAGAGCCAAGGTAGAGTTGTGGTGCTGATGGGATCTCCCTCTGACCTCAGTCACTGTGAAAAGATAAAAAAGGCATGTGCAACCTTTGGAATTCCATGTGAGTTAAGAGTGACCTCTGCTCACAAAGGGCCGGATGAAACCCTGAGGATCAAAGCAGAATACGAAGGTAAGTGGCAGAACTACTGATTTTGGAGTGAAATGGTGTTATGTTCAAGAACAACTTGGCAACTTGAGCATTTGTGGGGGATTTTCCCATGTTTTTGTAACACACTACACCAAGCTGTTACAATGCTGCTCTGCGCTTGCTAATTACATAATGACAGGTTATAGACTGCACTAAGCAACTATGGAGTAACATACTGTCCTGCTGCCCAACCACAACTTTCATTACTCAAAGTCTTAATATCTGCTTTTATCCCAGTACCAGAACTACTTTGCCTGATACTTGATCATGTTAATACAATTGTGGCATCTTGCTAGTGATGCCAGTCCTTCTGAAACAGTGAGGAGTGATAATTCTCCGGCTGACTGTGAATACTCTTTATGTGTAATTTGCAAGGCAGATGTTGCTCCCCTCATACTCTTCTGCCTGTTTCATGAAAATGTTCCTGCTTGTTATTTTGGGTGCCATGAGAAACATACTTGATTTAAGTTCTTGCCTTTAGCATGAAAGCCTGGTATCTCTTCAGGAGTGTTTATAGCCTAGCAGGCAGGAGAGAGAACTCTTTTTATTTTTGTGGGAGGATACTTTCTACTCAGTGAAGCTACAGATGCTGTAACCATAGTGGAGAAGCACTTATTTTGAGATGAAGCATGCAAGATTTAAGGAGAACACTTATCAGTGCCAGAGGTTTAACGGCTATAGTCTCTACAAAGCTAAGCAGCACCTATTCCTCTGATATTGAGACTTTTCCTCAGAGGCAGAGTAAGAATGCTAACTCCAGCTGTGGTAGGCAGTAGCTGGGATTTCGGGCTGCAAGATTTAGGTGGTGTTTCTGTGAAGGGAAAAGTCACACACAAAATTCTAATGCTGTGTAATGGAATTGACAGAATAACTGCAAACAAAATTGTGGACTTGGATAAAGCTTCCACTTTATGCAGAGAACAAGGTGCATTGCTTATTTTTGAATGCCTTCCTGCCCCCAGGAGATGGAATCCCAACAGTATTTGTTGCAGTAGCTGGCAGAAGCAACGGTTTGGGACCAGTAATGTCTGGTAACACTGCTTACCCCGTTGTCAACTGTCCTCCGCTCTCAGCTGACTGGGGTACTCAGGATGTGTGGTCGTCTCTCAGACTACCCAGTGGTAAGATGGTCTTCAGCTTACACTCTTGTTCTGACCTAGCTCTATCTGTGCTGTTGTTCTAGTATACCTACACATACAAACACAGGCAGCAAAACACTGGAAAAGTAGCTGAATCTGTACTGAATGAACAAAGTCTGTAGAAATACCTTGTGTGCAGTCTGACTTTTTGATGGCAAAAAGCGCAGTAGGCAGCACAAAGATGACATAGGGATAATCTTTAGAAAAGTATAAACCTTGTCTTACCCTTGCTACACATTGGAATTAGTGTTAATGGGGATTTAAAAGTCTGAATTTTGTTCAGTTATAGGGCTGCATTTTCATTATTATCAAAGATCAAAAAGCACCTTTCTCCACAGTCCATATAGGTAACAGCTTAACTATGTCAGTGCATTGCTACCTACATGATTTTTAACTTTGCTACTGACTTGAATGGATTCTTGGCAACTAGGAGGCCCAGAAGTCTGTTACCTGTGTATAAGGAGAGTCATTAGGTATGCTGGCTTTTGGTTTAAAATGCCATGAAGCATTTGTGTTAGTAGCAGTAGTAGTAATAGTGGAAAGCATGACACTTGACTAGCTTTAAAACTAGATCATGCAGTTCCTGGAGGCTGAACCAAACACTGCCTTAAATTGTGCTTCAGAGGTGGTTTTTGTTTGACTATAGAATATGTTCAGGTAAGCATCGCTCTCTTCTCTGCAGGTCTTGGCTGTCCTACTACTCTGTCACCTGAAGGAGCTGCCCAGTTTGCTGCCCAGATATTTGGCTTAAACAACCATTTGGTGTGGGCCAGACTGCGATCCAACATGTTAAACACCTGGATCTCCTTGAAGCAGGCTGACAAAAAACTTCGAGAGTGCACCTTGTAAGTCATCCCAACAAGTAACTGCCATTAGTTATGCAAAGAGAATGGCGTGCATATTCATTCATGTTAGGATTTACACTTGGGGGAGCATGGAAGTTCTGCATCCTTTCTTACAGAGAAAGCATTGACAGAGCAGCAGATGAGGTCTGTTGTGTCCTCATCCTTCCCATGTGTATTTTTTTTTTAATATATAACAACTTAGTCAAAGATGGGGAAGTAGTATTTTAGGTATCCCTTTCTGTTGCTCCAAAATGGTGCTGTTTGGCTTTTTAGTGTATACTGTTAACTACAGACTATTTCAAGAGAATGACTTGGTACAATCTAAGTAGAATTCAACTAGTACTCTGTATTTCTGTGACAGTAATATTCTTCCATAGTAATAATGTATGTCTTGAACCTTATTAACTCGACTGGGCTGCTAACTGAAGCCAGTGCTGATGCTGTTCTGCTTGCAATGAAGGTATGCTTTCCTTAGCAATAAAATGGCAACATATGCTATATTAAAAGGAAAAGGGGCTGGAAAAGTGATTTACGAGCTTGAAATAAATACCTGCCTTATTTAAAAAATGTATATACATACATAATCTGTGTTGTTTTTTTTAAAATGTGTGTGTAATGTACGCCACTGATACCCTCTGGAATGATGTGATAAAGTTGACACCAATTCTCTTGTTCATAACAAGCTATAAGTACAAATGAACAAATAGGCTTTGTTGTGGTCGCCTGCTGTAACTCTTATCTAGTCCAGGCTTTGCCCTTTTAAATACCAAGCAGATATCTACCTTCAGTAGTTCTGAAGCGCCTGTCTGATCTTGTCAAACTGTCTTCAGACTACACTTCAGTAACTCTAGCTATAACATCTTTATTTCCTCACACTGTTTCTATAGAAAACGTACTGAAGTGGGGAATCTAAGCATGACTGATCTTCTGAGTACGATTCTAACAAATATGCAATTACTTGATATATGTAACATCTATGCTTTTACAATTATAAATAAACTATGGAATTCAAAGCTGCTTCATGGAATAAGCACGTTAAAAAACTAGTGATCCACTGTGCTACATAACTTAGGGACCATAAATGAAGTAATAATCCTGTCAAGAGTATAGACACTAAACCTGCATAGCAGTCGTATTTGGTGACAGTCTTCTGGAAGATGCTCTATTACTTGATAAAGTTCAGGGAAGCTGTGTTGCTTTGTGCCTAATATACTGCTTTGATTGTGTGGGAGTTCAGGCTTACATCGTAGTGTGAGTAACCGGATTAAATGCTGCTGGCTGCATTTGCAGGAAGGGACTACATCTTACGTGTAGTTGTATGGAAGTGTTCCTGGCAGTGCTGTCTTCTGGAGTTAAATAAAGAGGGGTTTAAGTCAGTCAGAACATACACTACAGCAAAATAAATAGAACTCTTCTCTGGGTCTTGAGGGGGGTTGATTTTCCAATACTGGGCCAAGAACCAGAACCAGCTACCATGAGGGACGATGCAGCACAACTTTCTCCTTGTGACAGCAGTTGGCTAGCTCAGCTGTAGGTAACCACATAACATGAGTGTGAAGTCACACAAGAGATGATGGTGTCACTTCCTTTTCTTCGCCTTCTTACCCAACACTACACTTAATGTTAGCTTTGATGGGTGACAGACCCAACAACTTTAGCACCACAGTGCAACACAACGGCAGCCAGCCATTTGTGTTGCTTTTCCCACCCCCATCACTGTGATGCATTGCTGTGTCTGCACTGTCTTTCTCTGTGCAATGAAGATTGGTAACAGACACAGGTTTGAGTATTACATCTGTAATACTCTACAGTTTCTAGTTACATTTCTCTAATTACTTGCACCCTAATTCCAGTGACTTCATTTGTAAAACGGTGCCAGTTTATGTTGGGCACAAGCATGCAGAGTGCTCTAGTTGCCATAGAGATGGTCATTCTTCAGCTTTTGGATGGGGAGTGCTGTTTGGGGTTTTTTTGTGGAGTCTGTACTGAACTCTCAGAAGCAAGTCCTTGCTCAAGGGGTTGCCATGCAAAGAAGTATGAGGAGGCAGCAGGTACTAACAACAGTGCGTTGTTGCAGCGAGCAGATGGAACCTGCAAAGTCTGCCACATCTGCAAGGATATTACACAGTTGTCCGAAAGGCTGAAGTGCTGTGTTGTACTTGTTTAGCTGGAAGCTCTTCACAAAGCTTTTGCTGTGAATGAAAATACTTCCCTTGTTTCAGCATTCCAACTGCTACTCTGGAACAACGACCTGAGAATTTCCTCAGCCACAAATTGCTCTTGTAGCACTTAGGGTTTTTTTGGCCAATGTTAAAAACTATCCCAACAGGTTTTCAAATAAAAAGTGCTTTTATCTTCACAGGAGCTGTCTCATAGAGGAGTTACTGGGTGAAGTGCGTTTGCATTTCTTTAAACTCAGTCGGAATACCTGCAATGAAAATCTAATTTTTAAGCCACCTGCTGTGGAACTTAGAACTGTGCATTAGGTCTTCGACTCCTTTAGGTGTTCAACCTTTAGAACATCCATTTTGTTCCCCCACAGTCCAACCCCAACAATAACATTCTATATCAATGCAGGAGATCACTCACAGATCTCACTGAGTTGTGCTCCAGGCACAGTTCATAGGTTAAAGTACCTATCCAGGACACTGAAGGTGTGGTTTTAATATCCTCTGCCTGGGGGCAGTTGTAAGAAGTGAATTTAAGGCCTTGAGAGGCTGCACTCAAGACTTCTTGGAGATGGCATTAAGGTGCTCCCTGCTTTTGGAGCCTTCCTTTTTGAAGATGATGACAGTGGTTCACACACACAGAAAATCCTCTCCTCAGCCCCAGTGATTTCTTTAGCAACACAACTGAATTGTGAAATAGTGTTGGAAATCTTGAGCCATGCTTTGAAACAAAACCAGTGGTGCCCGTTGCACAAAGTTATCATCACAGGGCAGTCAGCATGTCTTACGCATTGTCAGAGCTTCCGAAAGTCCATAGAGGAGAGCAGTCAATTTCTGGGTTCAGACAAAAATGAGGTGTGAAGGTTGTCTGAACAATCAAGACTTGTTTAAGGTTTTATATGAGAGGAGAACTTTGAAGTGTCAGAGGGTTGATTTAAAAAAAAACCGAAACAACAAACCCACAAACCCTGGACTTCCTGCAGAGTTTAAATACTCTGGAACTGGGTTGCAGTTCCAGTTCCCAAGTTGCTGTTCCGTTCCAGATCTAAGCACGTGCATTCAAAACTCCGAGTTGCTGTGCAATGGCTGCATGAACAAGAGGGACCCAAAGCCACTTAAGCATCTTCTGTTGTGCTTTTGTGGATCTTGACCTTTTAGATATTTACAGGGCAGAACAGCCTCTTATTCATGGAAGCTTCATTTGGGATAGACGAAGTCAGGCTTATAGCCAGGAGCCTGGGGCATACCTATTCACTTCAGAATATAGTGTGCTCACTACAGGTTAGAACAATAACCCAGGTTTTGATCAATTTAATACCAGGGGAAAGGGACAAAATTTCTCCCTTCTCAGAAGAGTGCTGCAACCACCATAGGCATGCAGAGAGCTGTAGGAAGGGAAGATCTCCATTTCTGCTTTTTCCCCTCCACTCTTTCAATTTGTTTCCTTAAACGATCGCAGCAGGGGTTGGACATCAGCAATGCTGCAGCTGCCTCCAAAGTCCTGTAGCAGCCGTGAGGCAGAACTCCTTGTCTTTCTGTATAGAAGCAATGAGGCCTGTGAAATATCAGTTCAACTAGACTGGAAGCATTCTGAAAGACCCGCTCCCTCAAGTGTGTGTTCTGAGCGTAGAGATGATCTTAGGCTTGGAGAACACAGATGATGTATTGTTCCCTATGGAAGGTAAACTTCACAACCTGCTAAGGAATAAAGATGTATTGTCATGGAACATGAGAAAAGCATTATCTGTAACAGCTTTTCTCTCTCTCTGCCCTCCTGAGGACACCAGTGGGAGGACAGCTTGACAGCAAAACAGTACAGCAAGCAGACAGTATCTCAGCGGACGATCGGGAATAATCAAGGATCAGGTTCTTTTCCCAGGTTGTGCTTCAGGGGAGCAGAGAGCTGCCGCGGTACCAGATGACATCCACCAGGGGGCAGGCAAGCGGAGCCGCTAATCCGGCAGGGAGCGAGCTGCGGTCCGCTGCTGGGGCATGGGGGAAGGATAAAAGAAGGAATGAAAGGGAAGCAGTAAAGCCCCCAAACCCAGCCACCACTGACAGCAGCGTCGGGGAGAAACTCACCCACTCTGCCAAGCACCTCACACAGCTCTTCATGCTGATCAAAGGGAAAACGTTCCTGACAGATCGGGAAGCTCTTGAACGCAAGGAACCAGCACTCACTGGATAGATGGGATAATTAAGTAGTTTAAGATGTCAAACTCCAGAGAATTTCTGTTTGGACTGGAAAGTGACTGTATTTGTCTTAATATAGCACAGCTCCCTGTCCCCAGTTTCCCATTACATCATTTCCCTCTTCTGCCACACTTAAACATCTAGCACATGGGCAGCTTCCTAGCTAGTGCAGGCTCACGCTCAGTCTGCTCTAAGTAATTTGCAATATAGGACATTCTTCCATCTTACTCACCAAACAAAACAAAACCCCCTTAATTAGAAGTGCAAAGACTTGCTCACCGACCTCCTTCTAACATTCAAACCTTTTTGTCCTAGAGAGCCTTGCCACATCCTCATGGCCATTCCTGACTGCATGTAACTTACATTACTTGTACTATCACCAGCGCAAGTATGTTTTTAAATCCTAGCAATAGCCTGCTGTTAACTTTTGCTTGTAAAAGCAGTGGCAGTCATGACCATCCACAGAAGCATAACTTCACCAACATCAAAGCTCAAAACTCAATGGACTCTTGTTTTTGCTTTGTTTTGGCAAGGGCTTTAGAATAACTTATATCCTAAGTGCTGAACATTTTACAGCCTTTCCCCTCCACCCCTTTAATTGTAGAAAAGCACATGAGAGCGCAGTGAACAGATTTCAGTGTGACACCAGGTGACATGGATGCAATAATCCTTAAACAAGTATCTCCTGTCTACTCACTAACTGAAACAACTTTCTTCCCATCTGAAATGCAAGTTGTAGATGGCCAGGTGTGTACAGTCAGAGGCAGTACTAAAAGAGCAATGTCTCAGACTGGGTCAGCTGCAGGCCATGCAGCTGTGGTTTGCCTACTACTACTCCTGAAGACCTGCTCAAAGCCAAAGCTTCAACCATTCCCTCTGGGAACTGTCCCTGCCCCAACTGATCATGTCAAGTGACCAGTGCCTCACCCTGAAAGTCTCCCTTGTGCTGTTGTTCAGATCAGCTCTACCCCATCTCACCGGTAATCAGTGCAAATGAAGCCATAGTAAAATTTCAGTACTTAGCAGGCATTTACCCCACCCCACAGAGTTCAGAGGAACAGGTTAGATGGCTTATCAAACAGAAGGATGAGCACACTGTCCTTCCAACTCTGGTAAAGCCTGTAAGCAATGTTTGAATCTGCCCTAGCCTTTCACAGGATTCAGGGAAAACATTCCTCCCTACTACCATTATTTCAAGTTTCATAGCCACCCCCACCAACATATCTTACATCCACCTTTGCATATTGTTCTCAAAGAAACTTGGGACCAGTAAAAGGCCCACAGAGAAACAAACTGCAGGACAGAATGTGATGAAGTTTGTATATTTGCCAATTTCTGAAAGACATAAGTTAGATGGAGAAACATGAAGTTACCATTTCACACTGAGAAAACTGAAGTTTCTGAACCCAAAGTTCATCGGTTCTCACTCAGGGCACCAAGTTGTTACAAGAAATGATGTTCGCTAAGAGTAGTTTAAGGCGAAGAGACTAGAGCTGAATACTAACAATGAATTAAGAATTTTGGTGAATTTAAGAAATTTGGCCACAGTTTAGCAAAACTAGGAAGAGGTCCTTGCCCGAAAGATTTGAAAAATCCACATCAGTTCTGGGCAGATACCTCTCAGTACAGTGACTGCAACCCCTCCTGTTGAGATTT